AATTCCCGAAAAAAAATGAAAAAAAATCCCAGAAAAAATACCCCTCCGATATATAATGGGTGTGGTGATCCCCACTTCAGGTCACGGTCACAAATTGGCTTTGTGCTTTTGCGCCGTCACACAGGGCATTGGTATTCTCCCGGGATACAAGTGCAGTCTAGTCTGGTCTGGTGGGATGCGCAGCATGTATGTCCTCGCAATCATCTTGCAGTTTGAAGGGTTTGAAGTGTCTGGTGCATTTCCCTCAGGTGATGTTGGGCCCGGCACGGCGTCCAAGGGTACCCCCATTCATGTCTTAAACAGAACAGTTACAGTCTGCGCTTCACAACTCTGCACGGCAGCTCTACGCTGACTCTCTTCATGATCTTTGCCCAAAAGTCTAGGAACCAAATCATTAGTGCGAGAGCTTCTTCAAGGAAGGAAGCTCCCCCCGGCCGCCGTGAGCTATCCTGCGTCCTAAGTAGTAGCTACTAGCTACCGTTTGCTTGTACTAGCTACCTACCTAGCTACTTCGTACCTCCCTCTTCTACCTCGGCCTATATACCCCCCCCACCCCGGGCTAAAACCAAAAAGCATCTGTCTGCCGTTTTGGGTATCTCATTCCAACCAACGAATTCCCACCCCAAAAGAACCTCAATGAGTCGAAGCAAGTGCGGCAAAAGCAAAGTCCAGGCCGACGCACCCCGTCTACCCAAGATGTTGACAGCATGGGTGATAGGGAGGACACTAGGACTAGGATGAGTGAGGTACAGCTGAAAGTGGGATAAAAACCAAGAACATGTTGACCAAGCACTGAAGGCAGTGCTTGGTCAGCTCGCGCTTTGCCCGGGGGTCAAGACCCAAGAGAGATGGGACTGGGAGGTGTTCCTGTCCAGTCTTTTCGTAGCTTTGGGGTATGCATGAAGAATCCTCTTTTATGATCCAGACGGATGTCATGTTGTAGTTGTATGGAAGCTCTTGTTTAGTCTTCCGAAAGTAATGTTCTTCGCAGTTTCTTCAGCAAAAGAACATGGGTTCAGTGCTGTGAATATGAAAATGGCTGTGGCAGTGGCAAATGATATGTTTCAACCAACAACATCGAAGCCACGTGATCGAGAAAACTGACAAAATAATCTATAATGATCCAAATCCCCCCGGGTTGCTTCATTCATCTTTTCTTCACTAAGACCAAAACTCATCTAAAGGTCTTTTCATCCTTCGACAGGCGCGAAGGGTGCGACAGCGAAATCGACGGACAGCGCGCTCCCTGGGAATCCCTGCCACTGTCTTGGAGACCAGGCTCGGCATGTGCCCCATGGACGCTTCTCCCTAAAATCGGAGTGGGCATGGGCCACCGGTCAAAACTGCCCACGGACGTGAGGGGGTGGTCGAAACAGCCCATGACGGGCACTTGTCGAATCTCATCTTTGGCCATTTTTGTGGATGGAGATCCCACAAAACAATCCACCTCTGTGGTTTGTAAGCCTGAAATCACTAGTGCTTGCTTTTAGAGATTTTAAAGGTTGTCACTGACCTTTGTCGGAGACGTTTGGGGATCCAATCAATCCAATAGCAGCGGCAGAAATCCTGCGTTGCACATGTTGCACTGCATGGAACCTATCGTTTGATGAAATGGAAACCAAAAAGTTCGAATTTGTCATTACGTTTTGCCGCACTCCCTGAAACCGCACCCAAGGGCATCCCTCCCGACTGCGCCTCCTGATCTCCGTAGTCGGTGACCATGCTGCTGTTTCTGCCCCAAAGTGGCTCCTGTTGTTCGATGGTCGGCGGCACGCTCCAGGTTCCATGTTGGCACGATGGACATGTTGAAATGTGTCGGAGACGATTGGCATGGATTGGCTGTATTCCGTCAGATTCGCCGTCATTAGACTAACATGGTGTGAAGTGTGAACAAATCATTCTGCAGAGGTTTTTCGGGGTCTGTCATTCTGGTCTGAACAAATCCCATCCTCGATGCCCGAATCATCTTGCCCGCTTCGAAGGCTGTTCAGCTGGGTCGTACGGAGGTGATTCATGTCCTCCACAGGGCGACGCACGGCCACGCACGGCAGTGTCTGTACAGGTTCAACTGACACGCCAAGAATTTGTCTTAGTGACAGACCCACAAGATGCACTCGTCTTCCCCATAAAGCCCACATCATCTCCGGAAGTCACCCTTCACTTGGACCCATTGTTGAATTTAGGTTGCTTCGCGGTGTCGAACTTTTCTTGGCAGTGGCCTTGGACACATTCACATGCTTCCCACTGGCACCCACCCCAAAACGCCCACACTTCTCAGGCAGCTGCCGGCCTGGCCCTCGCGCAAGCTGTTCACCTTGGCCCACCTGCGCTCCTGGGGAACCCAGCAGTTTATGGAGGTTGTATCTTGAAATGGGTATCCCCTCAACCAACAGCTTGACGAAACGCTCCAGTCTGCTTTCGTTTTGGGGTGTCTTTCACGGTTTGCCGGTCCCAAAGAAACCGGGTTTGGGTGGTGAGTCGCTTCGTTTCGACGAAGGAGGGAGGGTCGCTCCTACGACCAGAGTCCCCTTTCAAATCAACGCGCTATGTATTGTAATATGACGATATTATATTGTATTATATTGTACTGCCAGCTTGATGTGGAAATCTGACTGTGCTCCAACCTCCATGCTGCCTCCGCTTTCCTTTTTGGGTGCTTCTAGTTTTGACCCAATCCCGAATGAGTGTGGAAACCATGTTTTCAAAATTTTTAGGAACACATTTTGAAGGTCAATAATTCTCGGTTTATATTACATCTTCGGCCCTCTTTGAAAGGATCTGTCCGCTCAACCTGGAAAAGCTTGGGGATGGAAGAATGTTGGTCTGGGTCACAACCAAACCACCCCAAACTATGGATTTCGACGAAGGAGCCAGCAATGGCCAAGGCCCAGAACTATAGATCTGGTCAAACGTCAACCTATTGAGAAATCACAAACTTGAAACCAAGATCAAAGAAAGAACCTTCTGAGGAAGTCAGAAATCTGGCTAGACTCTGGACCTGAGGTTTTGGCCCGGTGTCTTCCTTCTTCTTACATTCAGTACACTCACTCGCAGGGTCCGTGTTCAGGTTCGTTGCGGCCCCAGAAAACAAGCCGCGGGTACGAAGCGGGGTGACTTCGTCACAGCGACGACGTGTCAGGTTTTTGGGATGACCGAAGTCAGGCAACAGCAAGGCACTTAGCCATCTGAGACTTTCGAATGACAAATGGACTAAAACCGAAAACCATCGAAAGCCTATATATACAATCAAATGCCAGGGATATGGAGTTGATTCAAGAAGCGGCAGGGATATGTGTTTCATCAACATGACGCTGTTTGTGCTATGACTTATGCTATATCATGCTATGTCTGAGCGCCTACAGTTGTTTCCAGGTTAGCATGTTTTCATGGTCTGTTCTTCGATCAGTGATTTCACGATATCGAGTTTCCCTCCTCCGTGCTGAGGGTCGCACGCGTGCAGCATGAGCAGAGGGATCGTCGGTCAGAAAGCTATTCCATCGCAGCTCCTTGCTTTCGATCGGCGCGTTTGGAACACCGAGGACGGTCCTTCGAAGGGGAGAACCCGAACGGTCCTTGGATAGTTCCCCCCCGCGATTGGCGCTGCCAGAAGATCCATCCGGAAATCGTGGTGTAGGATTTCATGCATGAATCCTGCCCAAGGGTGCTTCTAACCTTTACCTGGTTCAGATCACATCCAAACATTCGTAGGTACTGGCCACAGCTTCATGGAACCAAACCATCTCCAAAACCATAGACCACCATAGACCGGTGCGCTCCGACAGCACCAGAGGCGTCTCGAACAGAGGCGTGAGTGCTCCGACATCGTCCTCTCCGCCATCGGTGAGGAGGCTGCTCCATTTGGTGAACTTCATGTCACTGGGGTCCTGCTTTCGGTCGCATGTAAATGCAACAGAGTAGGAGGACTCTACTCTGTTATGTCCAAAAACACCTGCTGCACCGCACTTCACTGCAGCATAAACAAAATGTTGCGCCTAGACAGGTCAAGACATGTCAAGTCAAGAGTCAAGACTTTTCTGTGTATATAATCAGGGCACTCTTCTTGGCCCTTTTGGAGAGTGAAACCAAAGAGGCCACCAGCTTAGCTGGCCTTGGCTGCCGCTGCTGCGCTAATCAAGTACTTGTTCGTCATGGTTTTTACCTTCAGGAAGAAGAACAAAATCACCGAGCCCAGGATCGCCACCATGACAGAGATAACATAGCCGAGTATCCCATAGTTCAGAATTCCTCGCCACAGCATTGTCAACCCCCAGCCCAGGATACTCACAATAAAAGAAAACAACGGAAAATCAACTGCGAAGGACAACTTGCTCATCCATGCACCGAGGAATTCATCAGGGACAAAGCTCATCTGCACGTACAAGACCATTGAGAGCACTACCGAGGCGGCTGCAAAAGCTGTAGCTATCCCAGAGAGGCACGGGTGCACCTGTTGGCAAAAGGGTACTTTGACCTGCATATCGGCTGGGCAAATGACTACATTATTGTACTGGTCCATGGTCAGAAAAAGAGCTGATACCATACCCATCATACTCCATGCACCTTGGATTCGTGCGCGGAAGCTTGATGCGTCCACAGTCTTCCCCAGCAGCGACTCTAGCAACATCATCTCAGATTGTGCTGCAGCCTCCAGATCTCTCTCCACTTCTCTCATTTTGCTCTGTAAGAGGCTCGTCTCCTGGTTCTCCATGGGCGCAGCAGCTCGGATTCTTTTTGCACGAGGCAGTGCGATCGCCCATCGGTTACGAGGCAGTGCGATCGCCCCACCGGGAAGGGCGAAGAAGTGACATGTTCAGCCCGTCGTTGTCATGTCGTTGTCATCTACTGAGCACTTCGCCGATCCTACTTGAGCACGTAGCTTTTGACCCAGTGGCGAAAGCAACTCAAACGTGCATGGTAAAAAATGTGATGTGACTGGGTGTGATCCCTTTCGGATGTGGACTTATCGAAAAAGAGTGACAAGACCGGCCTCAAGGACTGGGTGAACGTTATATATACCCATCCATACCCATCCTGAAGTGTTCAAGAGCTCTCCTTGAGCTTGACCCTGACCCAATCATTCAGAGAAGTTTGACATCTTTTGAATAGGGTCCAGCACTACTTTGACTGTTGACACTCGCCAAGCAGAAGAGCGTGCTCCCTTGGGGGTGCAAGATGGTACAAGTATAGAGCAGAATACCTAGATCTCAGTACTTCAGCTTCAAAGTCTGGTGCAACTTGCAAAGAGACTGAACAGCTGGGAAGATTCATAATCTGATGGTTTTTAGTTGTTTTTGGCTTCACATTTGCCCCAAATCTCTTGGAGCACGCAGGTGAAATGGATGCCTTCTTCGGCCCAGTGTCCCCGGTCTCATCCTCGGAATCGCCTGCAGCCGTCTCGGGCCCGGAGACCAAGCGTCTCAAATGGGCTCAAAATGAGTCGAGGACCTACAATAGCGGCCTTCCAAAACCACCAAAAGCACTCACTAGAAGCCTGCAAGATCCTGCAAGCAGTTGCTTGACATTTGGAGACGGATTGCCCCCCTCCGCCTCGAGCCATCTTCTGTCCACTGTTTCGTCGACCACCGGCCTTAGTCTGAGGCAATTAGACTGACTGGTTCTTTTGGAATCGATCCCGGTGAAGTGATCCAAAGTTCTCTGAACCCAGGTCCTTTTGAGGGAATCCCAGCTTCTAATCCAAATCACTTCTCAGTTCCAGTTCCAAGCAGAACTCACAGCTGGGACATGGACGTCCAGCCTCGGAGGAGTCATCTGTAGGGATAGGCCACTACGACCTCCCCAGACCTGCACATTCAAAACATGTCATGGGAGTGAAGCTTCTTTCTCTCTTGAGGCTCCCTTCGTGTTTTTTGGGTGCAAGGTTGGGTGATGTACTGGTTGGGGTAGTGAATCTGCGAGTTCAGGTAGCTGAAGAGAGTTAGATCAATAGGTGGATCATCCACATCATCTACAATTCCTCCTTGTAAACTCTGCTTGCTGTTATGTCATGTTGACTTTAGACAATCAATGAAAATAGATGTGAAGGGCTCCTTCGACCCTTTGATGGAAAGCAAATGGGTTAATGGAAAAGCGCTTACTGCTGCGGGTTTGGTTGTTGAAGAGAGACTCCCTCCAAACGTCAGATTTGCTTTGGTCATCCAGCCCCTAGCCCCAGTCCAAAATTGTATGACCGGTGTCCTGGTCAATCGGTCATCATCTATGACTCTCTCTCTCTCTCTTTTCCATCTCCACGGTAACGCGCAACCGCAAACCAACAGGACAATGCCTTTTTGGCTAGGGGACACAGGGATAGGATGCACTCAAGGATTTCCACACAAAGCTCAACTCCAGTGAGTGGTTGTTTGTTCCTCTTAGATCATAATTAGACAAGTCTCTTTTCGTTCGTAAACCTATTTCTGTCAAATCTGCCCCTTCCATGTGTTCTTTCCCAAGCGCAAGCAACCGTCCTCTCTCCCCTTTCCACATCCCGGGGCCAACCCACAGCGCTTCCCTCTTCAGACTCCAAGCAGCATCTTCCCCGTAGTCAGTGACAATACTCGTGTGCTTCGCCCACGCCAGCTCCTCACGCATGTAACTTGGGTTGCCAGAGAGATCTGGCGCGGTGGGTCTGGGGCAGATCTGGCGCAGTGGATTGGTCACCGCCGTCGACGCAAGCGGGAGCACGAAACAAACAACCAGCAGGGGGTCGGGAGAGTGTTCCACTCTAGGAGTCGGGAGGCTGATATACACTATATATGTGTATTTTTAAGATGCTTTTCGATCACGCACTTGTAATTTGATGTAATTTGTAGGTACGCACGGATGTGCTAGGTCCTAGGGACATCACATCCGCGTTATGTCTCATATCATGGTACCACTGGAAGGGGCATGAGATTGGAAGGCTGCAGCAAATGGGGACCACCATGCTTGCTGTATGGCCATGGGACCTTCAGCTTCTTCGGGTTTGCAGCCATCATCCCTCAACAGTGATCTGGATCGATACAAAGCCTCTACCTTGGCGCTTGTCGCTTGTGATCACGGAGATCTACCTGATTGGGCTCAAGAAATGACTGCATCTGCAAGACAACACTTTCCTCGGGTTTCACCCTTCTCAGAAAGTTCCACGCCGGTCCATGTCGTGCAGGGGTTTCCCCACAAATGGGCGGTGGTGAGCCCCACCGTGCATACTTCAGATATATTGAGATCATAGATTCTGCAGTGGAGGAGAATGTCCATCAACCCTGCCTCCATCTACCTCTTATTTTTCTTGGGGGCAGACACTACCAGTGCCACTTTGAGCCCTAAGATGCTCCCCTCATGCTTTGGGCCAATGAATTCTGCGCGCGGAAAACCCACCACCAGTCACCCCAAAACGATCCCCAAAGTCTTTGGCCGCTCGGTGCTGCTCCTCCTCGTCCTCGGAATCACTACCTTTGGCTCAAGTGGTCAAGACAAGATTTGCTGTTGGAGGCCATCGCTACTGGGGTGGAGGCCGTCGCTACTAGGGTGGAGGCCATCTGATGTTGCTGTCAATTTGGTGCCCACATAAAGAAAGGGAACACCTGATTCCCTCGTTTCAGCACATGATGTCAGTCTCCATGTTGCATTACATAGAGAGCCTCAGGGACCAATTGCAAGACAAAGTCCACGAAAAAAGAATCTGCCAAAGGTCCCAAGGCCTTGCAATTGTGTACATAAATATATATACAAATGTATATATATATACTATATACAACTATATATGTCAAAACACCTGACATTCATGATTCATGATCTCCGAAACTCCCATGATTCTCAGGCATCCCTCGGACCGAACAAGGGGTACCGACACCCGTTGTCCATCCAACATCCAGAAACTTTGGATTTGACCAGGGCCTCCTGTTTCAACAAGACTCCCTTTACCTCCACTCCCTTGCAGTTTCTGCACTTAACCGGCCTTTGGCAGTCATGCCTTGCCCATGAGCCTGAGCCATTCTGTGCCGCAACAACAGCGCGGTTCATCAAACCCTTCCGTCTCCCTGCGCAAATAAATCATCTCTGGCGATCTCTGGCATGGTTCAACCAGATCAAGAGCGTTCATCTTATATCTTACAAACAGTTCAATCCGCTCGTGACTAACATGAACTTCTTTCAGTCGCGCTACATCTTACAAACGTCTCGTTCCAAGAGATCAACGTCTCGAACACTTCACCACCGAACCCTTCGCACTGGGCCAAAGCGGCATGGGAAAAGGAACCAAAGCCACGATCATCCTTAGTTGTGTGGTGCATCTACCGGACGGCCCCTTTTGTAGGGCACGGCCCGGCGGAATGGCCCTTCCGATCATTGGAACTTAAATGCGTCCTTGCTCCGTTCGTAGCGATGCCAGGAGCCCCTAGTAGCTTCTTGTTACTACTAGTAAGGCACCTGTTACTACTAGCGTGGCACCTGTTCATGAAGAACTGATGCTGCGAAAAATTCCGGATGTTTCGTGCAATTATGCAGCGGGCAAGCATTTGGTGCCGCAAGTGTGGTCACGGCTTCAATCGGTGTCTCGGTGTATCGGTACAATCGCGGCTTCAATCGGTGTCTCGGTGTCTCGGTGTAAAACGCGTTTATAGTGGCACCAAATGCGTGCCCTGTGCAATTATGCTTTTTCGCATGTGTGTGTGTGTGTATGTGTTTTTTCTTAGACAACCACAGGAGGACATTAAAAACGTGTGCCCTCCTTCCTGGCATCGTCTGCCGTTTTCCGCAGTCTGCCGGTGTTTTCTGCGCTGAGTACCTAACGCTTGGAGACCCAAAGTACTCAGCATCCTAAGCGAGCCATGCTCGAGGCGGTCTGCGATCCATGGCGTTTCTCGGGAGTTTGGTCGAGAGAGTCCGGCCGTCGATGTGAAGCATCTGAAACCCATCGAATGCGTCAGGTGTTCAGAAACGGTTCCTTGGAGTGAGGTAAGTACTGAACAATGATATTTTCCCTGGGGGAAAAGCAAAACTATAGGGAAATGCCATTGTCCACAATTGAATTCGCTTTTCCCAAAGGTGAAGCGAAAATCTGCACATTCTTGTTCCTTGTCGCGGTGTGAGGTACTAGAATAAACCGACTTACAGTTAGGGTTTTAGGTTGTGTGCCAAAACATGGAAGGCAAAAAGGCAACAACAAAATGCAAAGGAATGCAAAGTTGGTGTGGGCTGCTCTGCTCAAGGTCCTTGAAAGGATCAGTCGGATAGTACGTACGTGACTCCCGTACGTAAGTCGGACCGCTCCCCGCGCGCAAAGTCGGACCGTTGGACCGTTGGACCGTCTGCTCTGCGACCCCTCCGGTCGACTTCGGGTGAGGTTTTGGTCCGGTCCTCACTCCGGTCCTCTAGACCCACCGGTGGACCATGAAACAGGCTCCCCACATGAGGATTTGGGCAAAATCTATGATTTGGGTCGGCCTCCATGGTTTCTTGAGCCTGTACAGGGGGTTCCCGGGGGTGGCGGGGCGACCATTGTGACCATGACCATACCCATTATATAGTTTCCTACAACCATAGGTCTTGTGAAACACTCACATCAGATAGATGTGGTGGATGCCCAACTGGTCAGGCGAGCGGTGGTATGGCCTGGGTGAGCAGGCAAAGTATCGCAAGGTGAACCTTGCAAGTGGTGGAATTGTCCATCTCCCCTAAAGCCCACAAGTTGGTCAAGCCCTTGCCCTATCGCTCGTGTTTTCTCTTTGAGGGTAGTCTTGGGAGAGTGTTTTGGGAACCTCAACACTGCTCTGTCTGCTTTGTGCCAACTAACAGGAAAGAACACCTGACCGACGTCACACAATTTATAATGCGAACTCTGCACGGCCAGGCCATGGCCGAAGGTGTCGCCCGGGTGTCCCTGCTGGCGTGGGCACCGTGGTACTCGGGCTCCGCCCTGCCTGGCGCGGAAACGGACGGCTGAAGAGGAAGGGACGGTGTTGTTTTTTCCGAAGAAGGAGTAAAAGGCTCTTAGAAGGAACACCAGATCCCCAAGACCGACCACTTCCACCATCTAGTTCTATAGAAGGTTCTGACTGATCAACCCTGGCAAGAGAAGTTCCTTCGCCACAAATGGGTCGAGCTGTCCAGCACAAATGGACCCAAACTCCACTCCACCCGTCACCAAGACGAAGTGATGGTTCGACACGGCACCAAAAGGGGTGTCCATTCTCCAACAGGGTGGCGTGGCGACATGGGGTACTTGGGGATCCAATTTGGGTGTCTCAAAAATATGGGATGCCTAACCAAAGGCTGCTTGTCTACACCAGCCATGTCTCCAAACGCGCCCAAGAAGCCATGACGGGCTCTTCTTCCTGGATAGAGCGCATGCTGCGCGTGCTCAAGGTCTTTCCGAAGGGTATGTCATTGGCCTGGCAAAGTCGGCTCCTTATGCCACAAGACGGGGTGCCGAACTTGGAGGATAGGGATGCCCAGAACATCCACTCACTGGATGGGACTAAACACCACCCCGTCTTGTGACTCCTGGTATATAGACATGAGTCGAAAGCTTGCGTCGAAAGCTAGGATACTGTCAGACACACCAAGAAGGAAGACACGAACATGTTCTTGACCAAAACATGTTCGCCCGATGATATTCTACCTATATAGGGCTTCCATTAGGGGATACCATTGGATACCGGAAGTAGCTTAGGGTTGTCCGGCCAGGTGACCCCAGGAAACAGCAGTTGGTAAAAAAAAGAGGAGGGCTTGGAAACTCTCAGATGTGAACTGTGAGGGGTTTTTCGCACATGCTCAAACTTAAGATCATTTGCCATCCCTGAATAATTCTATCTTACTTTAGCTGACAAATCCGCATGATGCCAATATCTGGGTGTGGCCCCGACTCCATCCCAACCAAGACCACTGACATGAAGATTGGCCTGCTAGCTGCTAGACTTTGACGCTTGAAATTCTGCATGTTCTTCCAAAAACAGCATCAAACAGATTCATAACATTGCTGTGACAAAGAGAAACATGCACACAAACATGCACACAAAGTAGTCACAGTGCATGACCGATGTTCCACAGTGCAGCAAGAAAACCTCTTCCCAACAACTCTCACTTAGGCTCTCACAGAAGGCAGAAAAAGGTGCGAGCTTTCATTCGACCTGAGAAAGCTCATGAAGACAAAGCTTCTCTCTGAGCTCTTCCGCAGCGATGGTCGCCGAGCTCTTCCGCATCGCTTCCGCGGTCTTGAACTTTTATTCGCTGCCCAAAGCATGTCTGTACAAGGGCAAAACTGTACAAGGGCATGCTCTTAGCTTTATTCGGATTCGGACTCTGATGCCGGAGGAATATTGAGTGAAAGCAGATCCTCGTTTTCGATCACCACTAATGAGTCCAGTGGATGTCCGGCTGGGAAGACAAATGATGCGACTTGCTCCGCCAGGTAGGAAAGACCCTCAGTAAAGGGACAAGAACGCTCCAACAGCAGTGAGAGCCACCTTCGCCGCTTTCCGAGTGGATCTCTCCATCCCGGCAACCAACGCTCCATCTCTCTGAGAAAGTCATGATCTTCCAAGTGAGTGTAAACATCTTCCAAGCCAGCGACGAAGTCGCAAAGCTCACAGCGGCCTCCTTCCTCCAAGAGTCTCTTCAGGTCCCGTCGGCGATTGCCATGGTGAAGGCAAAACCCTTGGAGACCCGGCTTCGGTCCATGACACACCAACTGAAGTCGTGCAGGTATTTGTGTGCCAGAGGTGATAGCTGCGGAGTGGTCCGCCAATCATAGCACCCACCCAGTCCTGAGACTTCGCTGGGCCGAGCCAACCCGAAGTGCAATTGGTTATCCCCTATGTTTGCTCCGAAGCCGAAGACCGCGACCACTGATGGATGGCCAGTGGCCTCTGACCGCGCATTGATTCTGGACAGAAGAAAATCGAGGTTTTCCTGAGCAGGGACAGAGGTGCACTTTCGGCTTTGGTGTGAGTATCGTAGACAAATCTCCAGACTTTCAGGTGGTACTCCCAGATGGTCGAACCAGGACATCAATCAGACTTGCACCCTCTGCGTAATTCTTAGCATATTCAAGAACAACTCTTCTCCTGAGGCCCTCTTTTGAATGACCACTGCACATCAACTACTCGGCCAAGCCCTCCGGTGCCATCAGTGCCAAGCCGAGTGCCTCGCAGCACAGCGCTGGCATCGCAAGAATAGCTCCAACCTGAGGTAATCCCAACCACTCGAGTACACCCAAGGGTCCCCAGAAAAGAAGTTCTGATGATGTTCTTGGATCCACAGCAAATGAGACTGAGATGAGTGAATGCTTGCTCAATTCCTAAGAAGCAGCCATTTGGCAACATATTCCAGACAACACAACAATGAGCAAGGAAAAAAATGCCTGTGGGTCAAACCCGGACCCCTTGTTTCCCTTGTAGGTTGATGGTCATCCAGGGTCCCTCGGTTTGGACCTCCATCGTTCGTTGAGCTCGCAGCAAGCTGAGCACCGCAAGAGAGAAGGGATTACCACTTCTTCCAACCATCGGGCGAGTCCATCGATTGCCAAAGACCACTGGAGAATGAAGCGGAAGAGCACATCGTCGCCTTAGAAAAAAAAGAAAAGAAAACAGCGTTTAGGGCCCAAAGGTGATACACACTTCAAGTGACGCACGACCGTCCAAGTGATATCTTGTGGTGACTCAACAAAACTCACCCCCACAGGTCCTGTCTGATCCTGTATGATCCAAATACCAGACACGAACCAAGAAGCTACTAGGAACAAGTGCATCGCTAGTAGGAGCAAGTGCCTTACTACTAGTAACAAGAAGCTACTAGGAACAAGTGCATCTCTAGTAGGAGCAAGTGCCTTACTACTAGTAACAAGAAGCTACTAGGAACAAGTGCATCGCTAGTAGGAGCAAGTGCCTTACTACTAGTAACAAGAAGCTCCTAGGAACAAGTGCATCGCTAGTAGGAGCAACTGCCTTACAACTAGTAACAAGAAGCTCCTAGGAACAAGTGCATCGCTAGTAGGAGCAAGTGCCTTACTACTAGTAACAAGAAGCTACTAGGAACAAGTGCATCGCTAGTAGGAGCAAGTGCCATACTACTAGTAACAAGAAGCTACTAGGAACAAGTGCATCGCTAGTAGGAGCAAGTGCCTTAGGGAGTCCGAAGGAACTGGACCCAAGCCAGGCTGCTGTTGGCCATGGGCCCCGTCGGCGCGGCGTTAATGCCCAACGGCTCCGTGGAGCGAAAGCAGATGAAGGCGCGAATTGGGTTTGAGAAGCGTCAGATGTGAGATTCATATGGGATCAAAATACATATACTGCAAACTGCATACCCCTCGAAAGTTCCCCTATATTCCCATACTTCGAAGCCTTCAAGCTTGGCAACGACATGCCATCGGACCGTGGCAACGGCATGCAACGACCGATCTTTTTGCGTGAGCGCGCGCGACTAGTCGCAGTTCCGGGCCACAAGCACCTGATGCACTGCAAGGGCACTGCCGCAAGGACTCCGTGCTGAAAGGACTCTTGTTACTACTAGTAAGGCACTTGTTACTAGAAGCGATGCACTTGTTCCTAGTAGCGAACCTTGTTACTACTAGTCTACAGGTTCCTTTCCCGCTTTCGAAAAGACGTGTTTCCTCATTGTCTCAGATGGACTGTCCCAAAGACCGTCGGTGCAGTGGTCGGTCTCAGGTCCACGGACCGGACACGTACGATGACATCGTTTGGCCTTTTCGCCACATGAACCATCCCATTTGTTCAATTAGATAGAATGAAGATCTACTGGAAGACCCATCCCATGTTTTCATTTACTGGGCAAACCCCCTATGAAGATCCAAATGAATGATCCGTCCCAACCATCCGTCCCTCACGTCCAACCAATCCATGCCCAGAGACGGTGTCCTGCAAAACCCCACGCAGGGGCAAGGTTTCAAACGCCTGGCAGTCCAGTTGGCCGCCAAACCATACACTCGGTCGGAAACCCCAAAACTGGGTGGGAAATGCCAAAAACAAGGTTCTGACGAGTACTAACTTGACGTAATAATTCTGTGGAACCTTCACAGAGTCTTCTTTTTCTTGGGGCACCGTGGGCAAACCTGGTGCCATGTACGCATCCCTAAGGTGTGGCATTGGATGGCATGGGGATCTGGGTGTGACCCCGCATGGGAAAACATGGGGATGGGTTTATGATGGCTCAAAGACATGTGTGAGATTGTGTGAGCATGTCTTTTCTGTCAATTGTGAAGAGCCTTCAGACTATGATGGTGGCCCTTTCTCGTGAGATCCTGTCTGCAATCTCTTTGCTGCAGGATGGCAAATCGCATCAGCTTCATTAAGTGTTCCGCAAGTTCAGTCTGTTCTACAGTAGAGCCAATCACAAAACCACCTGCGTCGCATTGTGCCCGCTTTCACCACTCTTTCACCTGCCTTTTCCTCGGAAGTCCACCAAAACCATCCCGATCCCCGCGTGTCATTCCTCCTTCGCGCCTCTGAGCGGTACATGGCATGCAGCGTGCGGAACTCCCGGCGGCCCGACTGGAAGCCACGCACCACCTGCTCTCACATCGTTGGACCGAGGGTGTCGCCTGGGAATGGGTCTAACAACGAGCACAGCTGTCAGACACCCTAAACTCGACCACGGACCACAGCTATCCAGATATTGTCATTGCATGGCTGTCGTCACCCTTTTGTCGTCTGGGCGCTTGATTCCTGGTACCCCTAAATGGATCAGTGGTATATCAGGAGACCACTTTTTCATCCAAGGGTGCTGGACACACCCAAGGCCTACGGGACTCCCAGTACAGGAGTATCACTTTCAAGTCAGGGCTACACTACAAGGCCTTTACGTGCTGCCTGTGGCCTGGCTTGTGGCTCGGTACACCTCTGGCCTTGATGATGCCAGCATGTGAGGCTCCCGTCAGTGATTGGACCGGTAAACTACTTTGCTTGGTTTGGTCTGATGTCCCCACCATCCCCGTGTTGTGCCCGAAACTGGAACAAGAAGCCCTCACGCCCTCGTGTGACTGATAGTCTTTCTCATACAGCACGGCGCAAAAAAAGACACGCAAATTGAATCTGAGAATCTCAAACTGCAGGTGGCTATGCCCACATACCTCTGGGATCGTTCACTGGCGGGCGAGAAGCCCATCAGCGAAGAACGACAGAATTGGCACCTTGATGTGCTCATCATCATTGTGCAGGAAGCGCTGCCACTCTTGCGCGTGCCTCAAGTTCTCCTCGCTGCACTGCTCCGGCGTCAAGTCCTCGAAATTCTCCTCAGCAGGGACCCGGTGCTTGATCCAAGGGTCCTTCTAAGAGTGATCTGTCTGAGATCCCCAAACCGGTTTGAGCGGGTCTACAGACTACAAAGTGTTTATTGGGTATTTTAAGACTGTTATGGGAGCCCAGCTTGGTGGCCGTCCACTTAAATCCTCTGTGAATGAAAAAGACGTGCTTTGGTGTGCAAAAGCACCCCAGCAAGATAAACTTTGGAAGGACCAAGGTCTCGTGGTCTCCAAGGACAGCTTTCCAAAGGTTTCATTAAGCCAAGCCAGAATGGTCCAATGATGTCCAATGAAGTTTCTTGGTTTGTTTGATGTGTTTTTGTTCTCTGCTCTTTTGGGGGCCCCAAAAGAGCAACCTTTTCTGGCATTCTGAGCAGCTCACCACCACCACACCACCCACCGCCGTTCGACACGCACGGTCCACATGGTCCCATGGCACTGTCCCGGCTCCGTCCGGATCGCTCCTGAAGGAGACCCGCGTAGAAGCGACGATCGGCGGCCTTCATCTCCAGGTCCTGCATCGGCTGCGACGCTTCGAGGGACGCGGCTCGCGACGGGAACAAAAGGCGCCGAGGCTGCCCGTACACGGAGCAAAGGAGAGAAACCGGAGACCGGAGACCCATGCAGCGAAAAAAAGGGGACAAAAAACGGGCGTCTTTTCGGGAGCCAAGGAACACGGGTCACCTGGAAGCATCTGGACATCGCTAGGTATACCTGATCATCGTGTGACCAGGAGTCTACAACGTTCGGCCAAAATGGCCTGTCAAAGACGAGCCTGTCAAGCTCATGAAGCGCCATGTGCTTACGATGCAACCGGAAAAGTCGAAACAAGATGAAACGAGACGCCTCTTCTGATTGTTCCGCCATGGGGCGCATGATTGATTAAGGGATCTGTCCAAAACTCCTCCAAAATCAACCAAACGGGCAAACTGATCTATTTCCCTGCTTCCAGCGGGGGTCGTTGCCTGGGAGGTCTCCCTAATCCACGCCCATGTCCTCTCTGCCCATGCCCTCCTTCCCCCACCCAGACCTGGCGCATCTCATCATCGACGTCCAGCAGCGACCACGTCCCGGTGAGCCCTCCGGAGCACACCACACCGGTGAGGCTCCTGCGGCATTGGCGTGAGGAGCCTCACCGGGGTACCAGAGAAAGGCCTTGGGGTGGTGGAGGCACTTCCTTGGATGGGATCACGGTAGGATTATGACTGCAAGTTATTCGTTTACTTTACAGTAGCAAGTGCATCGCCACTGGTAACAAGTGCATTACTACTTAGGAACAAGAAGCTGCTAGTTTAGTAACTAACATAGGATCTTCTACCGTGTCATATTGGGGCTTCAACTACCAAAGTTCATCCTTGTGTGTTCTCCTTCACCCTTCTTCATCCTTCTTCACTCTTCTTCACTCGTCCTTGGCAGCTCCTGTGCTCGATACGCCAGCTGGGGTGTGTGCACCAACTGGATGTTGAGCTTCTTCAGCAGCGCAGGGGTGAGCTTTGCACCACCTGAGTCGGCACGGGACCAGCCGAGCTTCGATCGCGGCACCCGACGGCACCCGACGGCCCGAGCTGAAAGCGACCAGTCTCGTGGTCCGGACGGACCGAGCCGAGCACGGTCGGTGCCGCCAGGATCCACACAGGGTGAACAAACCCTCCATTTGGAAACGTCGTCACCATGTCGTCACGTCTCGAGCTCACGGGTTCCTGCGTCAAATAATTCACGGGGTTTGTGAGCTCAAAAAGAGAACAAGGGCTTTTCCACCTGTGGATGCTAGGCATCAACTGTCCGTTAAATCCTGGAGATGTGGTTTCACTGATGAGGCTGCCAAATATCATAACTTTTGATCGATTATGGCGGTGATTTGCGGCCAACACATGAATATGTTCAAGCTAGTGAGTGGTCTGAGCAGCAGTTCCTCCCAAGATTCTTCTCATCTCCTCCAAACCCTTGGAATGGAAAGTTCCCAAAATTCACCAGTTTTCCAGTTCCAAGCCAAACGGCCTGTAACTTCTAAGGTACCATAGGTTCTTGGACTACCATTCAAAACATTCCATTCATTTCTCGGTTGAATCGTTTGACTCACCCCTTGGGTCGCGTTGCGACTCTCTGGCGAATCCAACACCCTCCACGGCATGGGGGGGGGTCTGTGCCGCACCGCAAGCGTCCGCATCGCATCCGCTGAGGAGTCCTTCCTTCCAAAGTCTTCCAAAACGGTTCATCAAAACGATGGGGGTACCCCCAGAATATGTTGTACTCCCACCAGCAGAAAATGTTGTACTTCCCCCCCCGAAAAAAAAGGCCAACACGTTGATCTCACAGCGCACGCGTTGATCTCGCCACGAGTGTGGCTCACCTGCCACTGGTCGCTGCAGCCGCTCCGCGGCGGTGCCACTGAGAAGGCTGCTCTCGCCACGGTTCAATGGCTCAGCCTCTGCACGCTTTAGAAGTGAAAACCACTGGGGATGGGACTCATGGGACGTCTAAGGATGAAAAGTGGAGCCAGGGTTGAAGCCGGAGACAATCTTTTGGAAATGAAGTGTCAGAGGTTCATGGGACACCGAGACATCGGGGTACATGGTGCATGGGTCTGAGCATCTTATTGTGGATGGAACTGAAGATGGCATTGTAATTCACATCCGAGATCTGATCACTTGATCATGGGCAAAAGGCTTCCCTTGGCAGTTGCGCAGGGTCTTCTGGTCAATGTTAGCTGCCTGTGCTTTCTGCTGTGCTTCCCCTGTGCTTCAGCATCAATCATCAGCCATCAGTGGGGTTCATCTCAATCATCGTGTTTCCAGGGTTGATACTAGAAGCTACTAGCTTGGAGGCCGTCGCTATTAGGTTGGAGGCCATTATGCCCTCGTTACTAGTAGCTTCGTGTTCCTAGTAGTAATGGCCTCCAACCTAATAGCAATGGCCTCCAACCTAGTCGCGTCGCTTGTTACTATAGTAGCGATGCACCTGGCGATCAATCAGTGCTTCCAGACATCGATCAGACACTTTCGATCGTCCCCTCTTGCAGCTCGGACAGGGATCGAAACACCGGCCACCGGTCGCGAGCATCCGGCACCGAACGACGGACGCCAACGGGGACGGAAACGGCGTCTACGCCAACGGTCCACGAGCCGAAAGGAGTTCTTTTCACGAACTGAGTTCGAACTCACCCAGCAGGTTTCCGAGGAAAGCTCATGAGATTTGTTTCACCCGGAAGAATGCTTAGATGGTGGTCCATCCAACCTATCATCCAACTCGGCCAAGTCCTGGAATCCTTCTTGTACTTCTTTAAAATCTGAGTCTTCAGGCAGCAAAGGCAAAGGCCAGAGGTGGAAGCGGCTGCGGAAGGCTGGCCAAGTCCTCCAGGGCCCGGTCAACATGTGGCCTGCTGGAAAAACATACAAAAAATTGTATGCTTTCCAGTTTTATATAAGAGAAAATGCTCAGAATAGAAGACGTCAATGTCTTCCCATCCTTTCCATGATACTATCGAAAGTGGAAGAGATAAAAACATTCATTTCTTACGACAAGCATTCTTGCCTGTAGAATAATATATATATATATATGTATTTTCGAACATGTCAGGGAGCGTGACGTCCGCCATCGGCGCACGGGGGGAGCGTGACGTAGCCTGGGTTTAGGCTACAAGCAGAGTTCTTCTGTTCAGAAGTGTTCTTGTTCTGGGTGGCCAGGAGTTCAATCCCAAACACAGGGAAAATAGACTGATTGCTAATTTCCATAAATAAGTCGATGCTAAGACCAAGGAGCCGGGAAGTGGGTTTTCCACCAGACTTTCGATGGATTTGGGAAACGAACAAAAAATGCCTAGGAATGAGGGGACCTTGCCACCATTCGGGCTCTTTCTGGTTTCTGCCCCATTGTCAGGCGCACAGCTTTGAAAGGGTTGAGTTATGTCGAACTTTCATGAATACTCCTAGCTACTACTAGTAGTAATGCCCTTGTTACTACAGTAGTAGCTTCTTGCTACTCATAGCGATGCCCTTGCTACTAGTGGCTTCTTGTGACTAGCTGAACTGATACAACACTTCGGCACAAACCACACATCATCCCACGTCCACACCCACCAGATCCGACGGGCATCCTGCAAAAAACGACCCACAGCAGCTCGGTGCAACCAGGTATTGCTGGAAGAAAGGAAGTACCAATGGTCCGGCATGAACTGGGCAGGCCGTTGGAGTGACGAAAAAGGGACAGCTTTGCTGGGGTGGCATGACCCACAACCAAGCCGGTTGCGAAGTGTTTAATGGAATGTTATATATATAATATAACATGTAACTGTATATATATAAGATTATATAAGCATATATAAGCCATCTGGCAGACTCAAGTCGAGTGCTATGTTTTTGTGGAAAAGGGGTTGACTGCGATCGGCGCAGCAAAACGCCGGGGCCTTACCTGGATCGTGCAAACCTCCTCCCAAAGGACCTCGTGCAATTTCTCCGCTGCTCCAGGCCATCGCTCCTCAGTCGAGCGGGGGATTGAGGGATTGGGGCGTGCAAGCAGTGTGCTTTTTCAAGCTCCTGGAAGTGGGACAGGGATTGAACATAGGCCCATCATGGACTCTTTCGAGCTATCCACACGTGAAATTTCAAGAACCAGTCCGCAAAAGGGACAAGCTTTTTGTGGGTACCTATTGAATAGACCTGTTGCCTAGTACTGTTGCATCCTATTACATCCTGTTACTTTGTTATTGGCTTTGACTGCCACTCCATCACACTCTCCTGGCCTCAAAGTACTCCACCAATGTCTCCGGCTCAAGCTCACTTCCGTCCACCGGCGACTCCACCAGCGACGTGCGGCGCACGCCGACCACCGGAGGCATGCAGAAGCGGATCCTGGGGCAGCCGCGACAGTGAGCCAGCTGATGTTTCAAGGTCAAAGCACTACTACCTCACAGGACCCAAATATGTCTGACCAGACCCAAAAGCGGAATCAGTGCTGGTGGGCCGCCGCATGTGTGAAAACGATCGTCTCTGCGGCAACACCCTCTCTGCGGCTGTCCTTTCTGCCAGCTCCTGGTAGGTCCACACGTCACTGCGGGGCAGTTCACCTAGATGCGGACTAGGTTCAGCGGGAGGGGCAAACAATCCGGCTGTTTGGTTTGAAATGCATTCGCCAAAGTGCACTGCAAGTTGGGGAAACCGGCTTCGAAGGGAGCTGGATGAATCGCCTTAGGTTGCTGGAGGTGGAAAAACGTGTTCTTGACAATGATGTTGCTGCCGCATGTATCGCACATTCTATGCCTATGCTTACATACATTATCATACATTATACATCGCAAATCATTGTGCATCTGATGATTCAGTTCATGATGAATCTATGAAGAAGGTTAAGGTGCCCTCAAGTAGTTCAGCAACTCGGAATGGGTGATACAACTTGTCCGCTGCAGAGTTCGCTAAGCTGAGGGCGCCCCATGCCGGCGAGCCACTGAGTCATCTTGCCCCAAAGTGGACAAAGAGAGGCCACCTGCGTGGTGGTCTGCACTGGTCAAGGTGGACAGAAAGGAAAGCCATCACTTCCAACCAAGAGAGAAAGGCCCGAGAAACATCATCAACAACAACTGCTCACCAACAAGAGGCGCGTCTTTGCCCGATAATGTTGCTTTGAAACATAAGGTCTTTCAGTGCGCCATGCCAGCAGCCCAACATGGCACATGTGCTGCGCGGCGACTGTGCCCACATGTGTACAAGCAGTAGCGCGACCCGGGTCAGCGTGTCAGCATGACAGCACTATATCCAACAATCCAACATGACACCATGTCGGCATATCGGCGTGACAGCACCTCAGCATGTCAGCATCGCAACATGTTAGCATGTCAGCAAGCACAGCACCTCAGTCAGCATGACTGCACGTTTGCAAGTTAGCAGGACGAAGGGACAACACGTTTGAATGCCGACATGACAGCGCACACCATAGAAGCATAGTAGCCTGACGGAAGGACAACATGTCAGCACGACAACATGCCAGCATGACGAAGCGTCAGCATCACGCCATGACTCGACAATTATGTCAGCATGACAGCGTGACAACATGTCAGCATATCTGCAAAGTTGCTGCAAGCCGCCTCCGGAACCTGTAGCGGAACCTGCTTCGGAACCTCCCAAACCCTGCTCCAAAACCTGCTCTGGAACCTGCTTTGCGACTGCTCTGGAACTCCACTCCGAAGTCTTTACTATGACTGAATACTCCTAATGCAGAAAAGGAAGTTAGAACAATATTCCTTTGGATCCTTTTGGTTGAGAATCAAGCTCCGAATTTTGGACTGGAAGAATCAGAAGCTTCTTGCTAAGTCTAGCAAGAGACCCCCAAACCTCCAAAGCCGAAAAACACCAGGCCTGCAGCAATCCAATGGTGTGCCAGCACGTCTACCTCTGGGAGGAAGCTGAGAAAGCTGAGGTTTCGCATGAAGGACACAGGACCTCATCCACCTAATCTACTGTATATCTACATCTCGCCTTCATAATTCGATGTGCACGAACCCAAACAATGTCGCAAGCACAAAACTTCCGTGGGAGGCCCAATGTGCTTTGGATAGTGAAAGTTGATGGACAACTCTCATCTGGCCCCTGGAGGTGCTGGGAACGCTGCTTTCGGACAATGTGTTCAGAGCCCTTTCGGTTCAGAGCTGGGCTGGGCTGTTCGAGAAGTGTTTCTCGGTGGCCCCTTTTTCGGTGGGACCCGTCAACCCCTTTGGACCCGCGCACCAGGAGGTCTCTGTCCATGTTCTCCGTCTGGCAGCGAAAGCCCGGCACGTGAACGAGGGGAATGGCCGTGTAGAGGGCACAGTAGGCCAGCGAAATAGCGGTGGATCCCGTGTACGGACAAGTCCTTGGTATAGGGCGCCGTGTGGGGTGGTGACAATCGACCAAGCAACGCAGCGTATACAACGGGTCACCTAGGATTGCTGCTGATTCTAGGTGGTAACTCCTCCAAGACTTTCCGCGTACACTTCTGGCGCTTCAAAATAGTTCGCCAGAGCGACCAGAAAAAAATGAACCCAACACAAAGATATCAGCTATCGAAAGAGAAACCATGAGAAGCATGCATCTTGGCACAAATTTGGCCATTGACCTTGTTCGCTGCAGTGACCACATCACCACCTCCGGCCATGGCGCATCGCCACCAAGGGTCTTGCAGGACGCATGCTTGGAGAGCAGCTCTAAGGCGCTGCGGGACAGCACCACGGCGCTTTGCTGGCACGGGACGTCGAAGTCGTAGACCTGCAAAGTGCCCACCACCACCAACACGGTGCCGTTCCAAGCCGAATGTGTCGAGAGATGAAGGTGGTGCCTAGAGATGAAGGTGGTGCTGATGAAAATGTGTCCGCCTGACAACCTAGACGGGGGTTCAGGAATTCATAAAACAAAGAATGTCTCAAGAGGAAAAGGCATTGGTGTGTGTGTGTGTGTGTGTCCTCTATAAGTCCGCTCATGACTTTGTTGCATGATCGCGTATTGGTCATTGTCTTCGCTTTAACTGGCTAGGTTTGCAAGATGCTAACCCAGCCTCTGCGAGGGGAACATACTCTTTAGAAGAGACATTTTCTGGATACAATTGAGTTTCACAGTGGGCTCCAATAGCACAAGGGCGTGATTGCAAGCAGACGCACGCTTCCCATCTGCTTCGAGGTCACTCCACGTCTCAACTCCATTGATCCAAACCACCGCAGACCGGCTCCGCGTCGCGCCTCCGCGTCCGAAAGAACCTCGGACCGCCGGTCCACCCTTCGCTGGTTGTGACCATCCGAGGTTCAGAGATTCTGCCCCCCCCTTTTTTAAAGGGGATTAAAAGGACATCTGCGAAACCCGATGTACCTAAAAATCTCACCAACATCTATATACAAACACACTTCAGGTTCCAGGTTCTTGCAAAACCTTTCAAAACTATGCATCTAGCCCCTCAGAAGAAACGTATTACAGTACATATTCCTTCGCTTCCCACCCACCATCACTGTGCAGAGCATCCATGCTCGTCGTTTCTCGTACTCAACCACAGCAGGAAGAGGTTCTGCCGGAAAGGGACAACAAAAATGCTGATGAAAACCAGGACCCTCCAACAGGCTGTTTTGGGGCCCTAATTCTGGGCACTGTCGTTTTCTCCAGGTGTGTGAGAAAAAGCGAGTTGAGCAATGCTCAAAAGCCCTGGCAGATCACGCTCTCCGTTCCTGGCAGTGCCATCCAAGGCACATGCGCAAACATCACCGGATGATCATCTGCGGAGGCATGGCCTGCCAAGAAGTAGAAGAGTCGAGCTGTGTTGATGTAGACATCGTCTCCCAAGATCACCAGCCAGCGCAGGTCCAGCGGTAAGCCACCAGTGGAATACATGTGCTTCACTTGGTTCATCCAAATCATCAAACCTAAGTCGCGAGCCGGACCCAGGACGAGGTAAAAACCAATCCTGGCAGCCCAGCCGGGTACCCGAGCAGAAACTGAAGCAGTCCGAGGTACCCAACAGGGCCTCGACACAACAGGTGTCAGGCCCCAAAAAGGGGCGTGACATCTGGTGGTCAACCCAAGCTGAAGATAGCTGGTTAGGTCATGTCGTTACATGCGAATCTGTCACACAGGTCTTCTTTGTTACATGTTGAGAAGGTCCTGCAACATGGAATTGCAGAAATTCACCCTCCTGACAATGTGCAAACGGAAACCTCTATTGTTCCGGCTTCGTTCACTGCCCCTTAGGTCCCTGGCCCTTAGGACGCAGCCAAGTCACGAGAGATTGCAACACCATCTTTGTGCCCTGACTCTCAACAAGAATGGGAACTTCTCTTAACAGGCTGAATCGATCCCCTTGTCCAACATTCGTAAGCATTTCTGGTTTGACATCGTTTGTGCAGCTACGAACTAGTCTCAGGCTCTATATACGTAGGGCCACCGCGGGTTCTTCTGAGAGGACCGGTTTGCTTTACCCATTGTGAAGCAACGTGTCGTCGCTGAAAAATCTCCAAGCAATTGTCAACTCAAGTAGCTTCCAGTGTTCATCACCTGGCAGTGTCACAGTCACGGAACCACTGGTTCTTCATGTTTCTTCCGTCCCCCTTCTTTTGGACCTTTTCCTGCCACATCCTGCTACCAGCAGTCGCGCTACAATAATATGAATATATGAATATCCTCGGGGAGGAACATCCGTGCCTCGCTGCCCGCCGTCGTTCATCACCACCTGGTAGCTCTGCGGCAAGCCTACAGTGTACAGGCTCCAGCGGGCGAGTCCCCGCTCGCCCCGAAGGTTTTTCAAGCGAGGCATCACTGGGAGCTCCACTGACTGGCAATATGAGAAACAGAAAGAGAGATTCACTGGCTTTCTGCAAAAATGTTGGCAGAAAGCTTGAGGGATAGACTCTGAGATCAAGCAACCACAGAGGCAGAGGTCACTTGGTTTGGCTGAGGTGTTCCATGGTGTTCCTGTGTTCCTGCTACCCCAGCGTTTGGCCAAAGATCGCAACATATGGAACTCAACTTTTCTTATCGTCTGGCCGTGTGGGAGCCAAACGTTTGAAAACACCTATGTAGCCACCTATGTCGCCATCATCCCATTGGCGGACGTCTACCCGGCATGGGGTCGATCGTCTTCGCCTGGAATGAGTGCATCCACCAAGTAGATCCGGTTGGCGGCCTGGGCAAATTGGAAGGATCGATCTGTCTCTTTCGCCAGCTTCGCTGTACCCCTTCCAATGCCCTGCACTGATGATGTTGCTGTACCCTTAGAGGACCCTGCCACTGCATGCATCGATGATCCTCATACTTGCTGTAGTTGATCCACTACCCAACAGCACAGCTTTCGCAGTGAAGCAGGGTACTACCCAGTGGAGCCATCCAATCGGGGGGTGTTTTTTCTTGTTTGGGCCAACCAGCCTTGGCTGAAGAGAGGTCTTTAAAAGATGAAAGAGTTTCAACATGCAACCGATGCATACCATCCATAGGTATATAAGTAAAAACTGTACCAAGCGAACTGTTTCTGAATGCAGCTACACCCCTCTTGAGATGCTTGCCTCAATCAAGCAGCAATGGAAGTGGACTCCATGAACGATCTTGTGGATTTGAGCAAAATCCAATCGGTCAAGTTGCTGCATGCATCCAAACGCGCTCCATGCGCACCGCATAGGAAGCCCTGCGCGGTAACCGCTTCGGCTGGCGGTTTCGGCGGTTTCGCGTCTGAATGGGACTCCGGCGTCGCGCTGAAAAAACGGGTGGCGAGAGAGGACACCATGATTCACCATGATGAGCCTCCCTGCAACAATCAAGGAATTGGAGTTCACCCCCTCTTGGTCTTCGGATGTCTTCGCCTTCCCTGCAACTTGTCTTCCATGCCAGCCAATTCTTTCAAGGGAGTACCTGTACCTCTCACCCTGTACCTCTCACCCTATTCTGAGAGTTGGACTTTTCGCCTCTCCAAGGATGCGACCACCACGAAGGAGATGTGCCGCATGCCGAGGTCCTGAGAGGACGAGGTGAAGCATAGAGAGGAGACGCCTATGGCTGCCAGTGGAACATGGCGGAACAGCGGAACATATCTTTTATGCATCTGTACTTCAACAGACAGGATCTATCATCATCCATGGTTTCCCAACCGATAGGTTTCATCCATCTGCCCATCCTGAGTGAACAAGGTCCCCATCCTCGAGAAAACTGAACTGCCAAAATCCCCGCAGCTCAAGCACAGCTGAAGCTGTGATCCCAACTTGCACGTCCCACTTCCTCAAGTACTCCCGCCTCATCGACCCGCAAGGCCCCCCCCAGCTGAGGAAGGGAAGTGAAGAGCTCGTAATCCGCCAGGCTCCAGAATCCTCGGTGGTGATCACCGAAAGTCGAAAAAAAAACCATTTGTGACATCTTCCATTTTCTCGGCCATGCCATGGTGCGTTCAAATCGTGCAGCAGCGCTCCAGAAGCAGCTCCTGCCAACCCGGCAGCGCTTTTAGGGGGTGACAAGCGATGGGACGAAATCGTGACACAGCGATGCTCCAAGGTGGATCACCGGACGGGTTTGGGAGGATCAAGGTGAGGGGTAAGTGACAAACATGCAAACTAGCTAAGTAACTAACTAACTAACCAACTAACTAACTAACCAACTAACGAACTAACTACACTAACTAACTAACTAGCTAGCTAGCTAGCTAGCTCACTTACTTACTTACTCACTTACTTACTTACTTCCTTGCTTGCTTGCTTGCTTGCTTCCTTACTTGCTTGCTTGCTTGCTTGCTTGCTTGCTTGCTTGCTTGCTTACGTTCCAACTAACTGACTTACTTACCAACTAACTAACTAAGTAACTAATTAAACAGTTGCAAAATGGGTCACATTTACTTGAGCAAGATGATCCACATTGATCCACTGGTCACTTGAATCTCTAAGGATCGGTGAATCCCCCTCCCCAACGGGTTGTATCTCACTGCCATTCACGGCCAGTGGACTCTTGGAGCCAGTCGGGGCCCTGAGGACCTCCATGTGGCTCGGGTTTGGGCTAAGGCCTTGGGCTCAGTTGGGGTACACATCTGACACTAACATGGAAGTGGATGGCATGGTCCCTTGGAAGACTACTTTTTTTTACGAGCAGGGAGTTCTCCACTTCCATGTTAGTGAGTCGGGGTGTAGATCTTGGGATCACATCTCTCGTCAGACCGGTGGCACTGGAGCCCCGTCCGGCTCCTGCTCGCACTCTCTCCGGCAATCTCCGAAAGCAAAGAGAAGAGCCAACCGAGCCCCAGCCATGTTCGCCACATGGATGAGTGGCCAACCGCGCGGCATGGTGGCCAAAGAAGCACACTAGTCTAGCTGCGATGAGAAAAGGAAAAGGAGAACAAGGTGTCTCACTCTCGAATCTAGAACCCACTGGCAGAAACTGAGGGAAACCATTTGCGGATACTTCCGGTGTCATTTGTCTTCCCTGGAAGGAGGTATAAGAAAGGTCGGGCCACTCCTGCTTCGGAGAAGGGAAAGCCTTCGTTCTGGATCAGTAAGGCTGACCGCAAAATGCGAAGGGGGGGCTATACCCATCATTGACGTTCCCAGCCAAGAAGCGGAGTTCAATGGCGGAGGTCGATCACAAGAAAGATGTAAAGGCCCGAGGACCAGGTGTGAGTCGATTTGTCATATTTGTCTTCCACTGGATCGTGTGCTGTTGAGCCGCCACGGCCGGCACTCGTCAGCCTTTGGATCGGTTCTACAGAGTTGCCTTGTCGTCGAGCTATTTCGGAGCCACTCTGTGTGTGGTCCATGGAATCTCGCACATGTGTCATCCCAACACCAATCATGGCATTCAAAGCTGTAGTGCAGCTATCTTTGGGGGCGCCGGAAAACTGTGCAAGTCTCGCCAACCACATGCATCCATGCAATGATCTCTGAAATAATGGAGAGTGTTAACATGTTGTGGAGGTCGTCCACACCTCCTTGTTGTGTTCCTCGGCAACTGAAAAGCAACAGGGCCCCCGACATATCCAGCAATGATCCTTGACGAGAAGACCTTGGCTGCGCAAAGCAGGGCTGACCAAGGCTTCGACAAAGGAGTGGTCGCTATGTTCGTTTGGGTGCTTCCAAAGATTAACAAGTCAGTCAATCAAAGCTGTACCACCGTGATCGTGAAAGTCTGCTGTTCAGTTGCTTCGAAGCAATCAATCGTTTGTCCGAAGAATGGCTTGTAAAATCTTATATATAAGTATTTCGACCCAACAGTCAATTCACCGTTATCGCCCAGCCATCTCTGATGAATGATAGTTCCAAGCCCATCCAAGCCCCACTCTGAACCACCACCTGTGGCCCCCTGCAAAATCAAAAGGTGGCACCCAAACAGATGCCGCTGCGCTGCTGTTGGATTGGAAAACAGGGGAGGGGAAGAGATTCGGGATCACCAGTGATTGGAAGAAAATTCCTGGCTCCATTCGGTGCCCAACTTGGAGGATTCCATGCACAACTTGAAGATGTCACAAGTTGAAAAACCCTTCTTGTTCGGAGTTCACCGCAGTTCACCCGTCGCCCCAAATCGCTTGAGACATCGCCCAGTCGAGAACACCTGTCGGTCGCGACGACCAGCGATCGGTCTGGAAGGGTTCGTTTCAACATGGACGAGATATGATGAGATGATGAGATGGGTTGGTGGCAGTTGGTCGATTTGGTGGTGCCGCAAAGCACGGTTGGTAGTGTCTGGCCTGGTACTTCTGCATACCTTTTCCCATCAACACGGCTCGCATGAAGCCATCTTCACGGCTCGCATGACATCCACTCGTTTCGCTTCAAGCGCATCCTGTTTCATCATGTCTTTCGATGCAACTCGGAATCTTCAAGCCGGATGTAGTTGCAGCTTTGGCACCACATCACTTGCAGCTTGCTGGAGAGCCAAGGCCAGGAGAACTGCAACAGGTGCACCAGTTCCAACAGGGGGTCCCTTTAAAACGGACAAGCTGAATTAGAAACCCCTCCATTGGATTTTCTGAGGTGGCGGACCTGTCATCCCAACGTACCTTGCAATTGGGCAAAAGCTCACCACCCCGAGGAGTGTGCAGTGGTCCCAAGATAGAGGCGGTCGACGATGTCCTAAGTGAAAGAGGTGCAGAAAATGCTATCTATGTGACTATGTGGCTAAGGCTCAAGAATACAGTCCCATCCAAACCGGACATGTGGGCTCTTGGGTCTTCATTTTTGAGCCACATTCAAGGTCTCTAAAGTTTTGGAAGGTTCGCCCCTTGCACATGAAGGATCTTGGCTCTGTCTCCAGCAGCTCTTGAGCATTGACAGGATCATTGGGTACAGACTTGGAACCTGCCGAGGTCGACTGCCCAAGACTCTCTTGGAAAGAGTGGGGATGGATGGCCCGCGTTCGGCAGCTTCCTGACAGCAGCTGGGGGGAACCCGCTGCTGTAGTCCCCAACTTCACTTCTGGGTCGTCCCAAGTCTTGGAGATTCGCCCACGGTAAGCGGCTGACTGACAACTGAAACGGTGGGAAACGGCCCCTAGTAAGGTCGTGTCAGTGGATCTCGGCGTTGTGAGCTTTGTCTCCATTGTATCGCCTCGCACTGAAGAGATCTGGAATCTGAAGACTAGGGTTTCTTCCTCAAAAATACTCTAAACATCTCTAAACAGGGATGACACGTGAATGATCAATGGCAAAGGTACGGGGTTTGAGCGAAATGTACACTTCAGATTTCTCGAAGGCACCAACTATATATTGAGGAAGCCTCGCTCAAAAGAAGACGATCAAGGAACCCTTCGGGAGCCGTTTGGTAAGGGATCCGTTACCGTTACTGTGCTTTGTATGATGTTGTTTTTTGTAGTTTGACGATCGGAAGAAAGCAACGGGCATTTGCTGTTCAGCTGTCCAGTCCCAAAAAGCAGCTGTTGAACTCGCATGGACTTTGATACGTTTGGGAAGATTCGAGGGTGAGTGCTGAATTAGAGACTGAGGGAGGAAGCGCGTAGAATGATTCGAAGGGTTCTTTCTTGAAAGATTCGTAGCTTCTTGTTCCTAGTAGTAAGGCCAGGGGAGCCCCTAGTAGCGTCCTTGCTCCTAGTAGCGATGCCAGGAGACTCCTAGTAGCGAACCTTGTTACTCCTCCTTGCTACTGGCTCTGATTCTGCACATCTTTACTGCATCCGACGACGCGAGGGTCCAAGGGTCCCCTTGGGCACCCCTTGAGGTCCCAGCGCACGGCCACAAACGACCTCGCTGTGGTCCTAGCATCGCAGCTCACTGAATCACCGGTGCCAAGTGCGCGAAGTCTTGAAGCAGTGGCTCTTCACTTCCTAGAAAAAGACAAAACACAAAAAACAATGGTGCATATGTTCCATGGGACCCCAGCCCCTCGTCGAGATGGTGAGGCGCTGCGACCTGCGGGTGTGTCCACACGTGGCGTGTGTAAGGCTCCAGGTTCGGCCCGGTGGTGCCCCGTGGTGGGTAGAGGGTCCAAATTTCGGTGGAAGAGTAGTTACCCTCCCTCCACTGCCGGGCATGGTCCCTGGAAGGGAGGGTACTCTCTAGGAAAAAAGCTTCAGTGGGGCACAAAATGGGGAAAAATATGGAGATTCACTGATGTTCGAAAGGAAAAGGGGCATCAAGGGCATGAAATGACGTGTCATGAAGATGGACGTGTCATGCTTCCGCCATTCCATGACTTGCGGGATGCTGCGGGACGCTTCCGACGGATCATTGAACCCGGAAAGAGACGGAAAGAGCAACCTGCACTGTCCACATCCAGTGAAGAGGGTCGACAGGGTCGACAAAGAATGAGACCAGTCGGCCGGATTGGTTCACGTGCTGAACAAGTGCTCAGGGCCTTCAAGACGCGGAGAGACAAATAAACGGATATATTAGCTGAGCCATATAGATAGGCAAACATCCTGTGGCTTTCAAGGCAACAGCTCTTCCACAGATGCGTTGGTCCACCCCAATGAAAAAATCATCACGCGAATCCTTCGTGACAATGCGAATCCATGATGACCATGTATCAAGCGGAAGAAGGCCCTTACGGATGTAACGAAACCTACCCCACTGCACCCCACACCACCCCGTTGTCATCGGCCTAAATCACACAACTCTTCGATGACAACGCTGTGACCGATGACCATGTTGTGAAATGTGCAGCACGTGAAAACATTGTGAGATCAATGACAATGAGCATCTTTAGTGACAACATGTGACTATGATGATATGACTCCAGCCAGGGTGTAACGATGTCAATCAGTACATGAATTCGCACACATTCGGCTGGCTTTCCCTGTTTTCCGCAAAGATGGCGCCCATGGTGCTCAAAACAGGTGAAGCCTATTGATGCGTCAAGCACTGTGCAACATGGCCCCAAAAAACACCAGGCAACCTAGCAAACCACCAGCAACTACTGATGGCACTCGGATGCACTTGGTCGTTGGTGCCCCAGCATTTTGTGGCCAAAAAGATCAAAAAATAACAAATCTGCCCCTGCGTTGGGAGGATCTTACTCACAAAATAACTGTTAAGTTGGTCGAAACATGATAAAATTAGATCCCTCTCCTTACCCCATGGGTTCTGGTCGTTCAAAACCATCCCCGAAGCTACGGCATCCTGGGCAGTTCTTTTCAGACGGGCAAACCGAACCCTGCTCTCCACGCCTGCCACCCCTGCCGCGCTGGCTGTTGGCGGTTCAGACCACGTGCTGGAGTATGTCATCGGTGGAGCAGTCACCGGAGGAGCAGACAATGGGGGAGCCTGTCACGTCGAGGAAGCGGTGGTTGTCCACAACTCCAGGTCTGAAGCTTCTCATCACAAGGGTTGCTCAAGACCCCTTGAAAACAAAGTTCTTCTGTCTTGCCCACACTTACATACCTCCTGAAATGAGAAGGGGAACATAGGGGAACGACCTCAGGTTCCAACTACCTACTTAAGACAACCCTCTTCTGTCTCCCCACGGCCTAGTCAGTGGTCATTGCACATGTACTACTCAGAGTTCCAAAGTCAAGGAGAACAAATTCGGGATAAAAATGGCAGTTGTCAATGAAGAAGTTACAACGGGAACAGAAGTGAACAAATCTGACTCTAAACACCTCAGTAGCAGCAATGGCCTGCACCACTGTTGTTGGATATGACCTAGGGCAGCGATGTGAAGAGATCCTCTACGTCAATCTCTATAATCTCTATACCTCTGAAGACAACCTTCTTTCCTGCTAGCTTCAGGAGCCCAGCTTCGCAACTAGAATTCCTCCAAACTCATGCAGCCTTGCGAAAGCTCATGCAAGTCGTGTCTTTTCCATTGTCATGTCATCTCCAGCCGCCAACCGTGCCCGGTCCGCACAGTGCGGTGCTGCTTTCTGGGTGCCTCACAGCACTCGGGCCTGAGTCACTGGAACGACCTCAGAACGCACGCTGGTTCGTCACGGTTGGCGGTTCCCGCCCCCTCTTCTCCCCGGGGAAGTCACGGCTTTCGTCCTTGGTTCGATGCTTCGATGTGGACTTCGCCGCTCAGGTTTCTGAAAACCCGCCGAAGAGCAGGTCGAAGCTACCAAGGAAGGCCTTCCCATCCAGACCTGTACAAACACCTTATCTGCCCCCCAATTTCAAAGAACACGCTGGTCACAACCAAAAGAAAATGGCAATCATCCCAAAAAGTGCCCAAAAGAGAAGCCATGTGAAACCGTATTGCCATGCCACATGTCCAACAAAACGATCCCATAGAAAAAAAGATATGAAGAAAAGAGGAGGCGTCGGGCCCACTGGTCCTTCCTAGGAGGTCCTCCCCTGAGGTCCTTCCTCTCACCGTCCTCCTCGACCAATCGTTTCTCGGTCCCCCACCGAAGAGCGATACACCAATTTGGGCGAGTTCCCACCCGACCTGCCGAGCAAACCCGCTCTGAAGTGGATAAAGCAACAACCAAGAAAGGAAGCACAGGAACAACTTGTATCATGCCTGCCCTGGAAAAGCACGATACAATTGCACACTTTTAGTGTTTTTGTTACGTGCTCCTGCTCTCACATGGGAATGGCTTTGAATGGAAATGGCGGAAGAACTTGAGAGCAAAACAAATGCCCCAAGAATCCTGGGCCCGATCGACTTGTCAAGCACCACTTCCCTTGGACCAACCCGGTAACCACACCGCGGCCTTGCGGGGCTGACCACGCCCGGTAAGGAGGGAGAAGAGCGAGTGGCCAAGCGAGGCGGCCTGCCATCCCAAGCGGTGTGTTTTTTCCTCAAAAACTGGCTAGTCAGTCCATACACGATATTGCCCGCAAGACCTCTATATCCTCTACTTACAGAAGTGGATCGAAATGTCTTCTTCAAGATAAGTCTTCTCTTAAGAATTGCCTTCTTCAGTTCTTCAGTGTTACTCCTTGCCGCAACCGCACCTGAGGCGAGTCTCGTCCTGGAAAGCCGACGAACGAGGGAGACGAACGTCCCAAGGACCCGGTCGTTGTAGAGACGAAAGGGGAAGCCACGACGTGTGACCAGGAGCTCCATTCGTAGCTTCTTTGTTACTTAGTAGTAGGGCCAAGGGTGCCCCATTCGCCTAGTAGCATCCGATCGCTCCTAATTAGTAGTGTGATCAGAATGTCCACACTTTGTTTTGCAAAGGTTTGGGTGTGGGTGTAAACATGGTGTAACTTTAGATCTGTTCCATTTGTATACCAAGAGACCACTCACAGCGATGCGGCTGGAAGATGGACCGCGCGGCAATAGGATTTCAGAGACGGCCGAATGGTTGCAATATAGAATGAAATCGACTACAAAGCACGTTGAGTTGAGAGTAGATTGCACAACCACAAAAGGATACAACAGGTCATTGAGCTGGGATCCCAGACTGGTCTAAACTGGTTGAACTATGTCGAACTCCAATTGAAACAAATAAAGCTGGAACCTACTGTAGCAGGTAAGTCTCAGGATATGAGTTGCTGACCTTGAGTCAGTAAGGGGTGGGGTAGGGTAGCCTGTAATTTATCTGTTTTCCGCTTCCATGGTCGAAAGCTCTGAGATCATAGGCCCCATGGTAAAGAACGTGTCATCATTGTGTCATGATGGTTCAATGAAAAAGTGTCAACCCTGACACACGGTGACAGTCGATTGGTTGCTTCAACCCATGACCTGTATCCTGGAACACTGGAACACTGGCTGAATTGAACCAGCTGCAGGAAGTCGCTTCAAGAATGCTTGGAACGGAAGCCAGAAAGCAAACATTAAATGAGTTCGGCCCGGTGGAATCAGCTCGTGCAACTGAAACAACAACAAGAAGGGTCTTCCTCCCCGGGCGCCGGGCGCCTCCACCTCCTCATCGGAGCCGAGCGCCTGAGCTCGGATCTCAACGGCTATGGCGTCTCCCGCAGTCGAATCTCGTGCCTGTTGAAGAGAAACTGTGTAGTCGTGGATCGAAAACAAGAGTTCTTTGGTTGGGTGGCAAAAATGTTTTAAAACCCATAAAATGCGGGCCGGCGGCCATACCATACTAACCTGCGTCAACAATCCCCAATCTCTCTATGTGCATAGTATGTGTATATATATATATATATTATATATATATATAGTTATATATATATATATGTATTACATATTTATAAACTTAAACTTCAGCTCAATCCCCTAATTTTTATCCCAATGATCCACGTGGTATCCGCAGCGTTCCGCCACTGTCGGTTCCGTCGTTCCCATATGTTCCCATATGTTCCGTCGGTTTATCGGCCTTGATCTTGCAGCTCATGTCATGCGTGTGCCCATCGATGGCTTCCTCAAACAGCGGCAGAGCAGTCCGCGTTGGGCTGCCTTCGAGCGATGGGTCACCCAATCTGGTCAACTGTGAAGGCGATCGAGCTGACAAACAGAAACAGGTCCAATTGTTTAAGACCACAATGATCCCTGGCGGGCTAAGACCCTCAGTTAGCTGAGCAAATTGCAAAAAAATGCCAAGAACGGCCCAACGACAAGCGAACCAAGATTGTGAATGACTTGTGGGGCCTGTGAACGCTTTTTCGCGGGCTGGCTCAACCTGGAGGAATATGGGCGTCAAAGAGCTTGCTTTCTTTCCCCCCCCCTCCGACCCAGCAACATCCAAAAACCATGACAAGGAAAGTAATCGAACACTGAGATGACTGCTGAGACTGAGCTCCCCTGGCCCAAACTCGCTTCATCTCCAACTTCCGCTCTTCCATGTCCTCCAACGAGGTCGCACGCGTTCGAGTCGCTCTCATCTTTCGCTGGATAAAATAATGGGAATCTCCCTTTGGTACCTCAGGCGCCAGTGATCACTTGGATCATGGGTCCTTGAAAGTGGCTTCAGAGCCCCAATCTGTAGTGGTATAAAACTCACTCCAGCTCCGGCATTTCGCACGCAGGGGCGTCAACGAGCAACAAACTCCTTTCTTTCACAGGGCAGGGCTGGATGTCTGCAGGATATTCTGAATATGACTCACCAACGATTGCGGGGAATAGGATTTACCCAAAACGAATTGGCCGCTTCGTCTAAAGTCTTTCGTTCGACCTAGCGCTACTTGGTCTTTACCAGCGAACAGGCGCGCACTTCCAAACCGTTGAACCCCAATTCTCACCGCCGCGTTGCACAGCGCAACGCGCGGCTGTCTCCGGCTGTCTCGGCCTTGCGAATCAGCGCATCAAAGATCCCGACCTGGCACGGAACCACCTGCCTCCGCTCTGGGTTCAACGACTCCAAAACCGGTGCTGACGAAGCGGAAGCGATGGAGCGAGTTCGCACAAGCGACGTACAATGCGATCGAGCGTACGAGGCCTTAGGGCGACGACCTGACTTGCATAGGAATGAGTCAACGTATGTCAACGATTGTCAACGTCCATTCGAAGACTTCAGGGCCTAAGGGGATCTTTGAGGGGCACTATGGGACGTAAGTTCTGGGCGGTGTCCCACAAAGGAAAAGAGGTTGCTCAATGTCAGTGAAGAGCTGCCCTGCCTTCAAAAAAGGCCTTGGAGATCACATGGCTAGTAAAAGGATGTTCATCATCTACCTACCAGTGACATGGGAGGGTACCTTAGATACCTGTCACTGTCGATACCCAAGGTACTCCCCATCCGGTGACCCATGTGGCTCGGATCAGTCCCAACTTAAGCATGCAGCCGGTGACCGTTCGTTGAAGGGAATCGACCTCGGTTTTTCGCCCACGCATCGCCAGTGCTCTGAAGCGGAGTTGGACCGAGTCTCGACGGATGTTCCTGAGCAAAAAACGAATGAGACAAGAAACCGAATGCCGTGAAGGCAGAAAATCAAACAGATCAAAGAAGAAACTCACTGGACTTAGACATTCTCTTAAGCTTCCCCTCGCAAAAGAACTTTTGGAAGACACTGACTTCGATGGAGGAGGTGCAATGATTCTCAGAGCAGTCTGTTCTTCCACCCCGTCAACGTCTAGAGCTCCGAGCAAGTACTACGCCGTCGCACCCGGAAGTCTGGGTCACTTACCTTTGATGATTTGCCTTGCCAGAACTGAGCTTCCGGGCCAGTTCAGATTGTGTCTCATGGTGCTTGTGCCGCTCTGCTGTCTCTCGGCTCAAGAGATCCTGCAGCACAGCGTGGCGCAAGAACAAGAAACAAACCAGGCAGCGATTTATTCACCTGCACAAAGGTGCCTCTCCGGAAGAATAAGAAGGCACCATTTGGGGGGGGTGAAGGTCTACCTCATCTGGGGTGTTTTGAGCGTGTCTTCCAGTACGCTGTAAATGAAATGCACACCCTTCGTAAACATCCATGAGATAAAGCTCATGTTCGCAAGAACTTTCTTCCAATTTCTATCCACGTCTCAACTTTTAACTTTTAATGTCTGTCTTCTCCAACCTCCATTTTCACCCTCCCCAAGCTGGCTCCAGGGCCCAGAGAAGCTGTCTCTTCAGTCCTCGATCTGCTGCCGTGCCGCTCGCTCCTTGCCAATGAGCTCCTGCACTCGGTGCCGCACGCTGGCTGTCTGAAGGGTTTTCTTGGTGCGTCTTGGCTCCTCCGTTCGCCCTTGGTCTCCACATCATTCCACGACGTCTTCCGGACGGCGTTCGGCGTTCCGTGTCGAACCCGACACGGCCGCGACAGCGTCCGTGTCTTCGCCTGAACGTGGCCGTGATGTTGTTCACGAAGGGCGCGTTCCTTGGAGATCGCGTCGTGGAAACTCTGATGAGACGCCTCAGACTTGACTGAGACGAAGACCCGGGAGCCGATCGCTTCCAAGCCGGTGAACCGGGAGTCTCCAAGATGTCACAAGTGAAAGCCACCAAATCTTGAGAATCGCTTGGGGAAGGAAGAATGACGAGAAGACTTGACCATCTAAAGTTTTAAACTCATATCCTCATGTGATAAGGGGCAAACTGTGATCACAGTCCGTGGGGTTGTGTTCACACGTAGATACAATGCCAAGTCAATGCGACGACTTCGGGCTTGGCAGATTAAGCACTGAAACTGAAAGGTCAAAGCAAACTCCTCCTGTGCACCAGGCCCCACTACATGCACAAATATATACAATCAAACCACGATACTATAGACTGGTAGAAACCGAGAAACTGTGCATCCAAGCCTTCTTTGGGTAGAACTTCCCAACAATCCTAGATCGACACCACGTCTCCAAGGAACTTCACGCGAGGCAGTCTCCTTTTGCAAGGTTGCCTCAGATGTTCAGCGGAAGGAATCCCACCCTTCGTTGGTGTCCGCCTCAGGGTCTTCGAGCTCTTGGGCGTGGAATCCCCTTCACTTGGCTCAACTTGTTGAAGTCGTACCAAGCGCAGCGCATTCGTACCATCTCCATCGCCCCCCATCCCTGTGCTTGCTAACACTGGGAAACATCTCTTCACTCCCATTCACATCACCGCTACGCTGTCTTCAGCGATGAAAACTGTCCAGCGAGTCGGGATGCTGAATGGTGTTCATGATGTTGATCTCGAGCCTCCTTCTCTTGTCGAAGCACCGCCTGCCATCGTTCCGGTCTGGGTTTGGGCTAGGCTCCAGTCCTGTCCCTAAGTGTACCCAGTGTACCCGATCATCGTCCGAAATAGGATTGATTCCAAGATAAATCTCTATTCCAGTGAGAGGAAAACTGGATTTGTATGGATTTCTCCATACTCCATGTTTCCTGCTCTTGTGCAAGAATTCTACAACTCCCCAGTTGACTCCCCTACTACCTCTCTGCAACAAAAGAATACACGCATAGCCGAGCTTGGTGCATTTATTTACCCTAGGCTTCCAACAGCCATTAATTTAATAGGCTTTACCGAATCAACTAAGGATTTTACACTACAAAAACCAGGTCAACCATTTTTATTGGTCTATCTCGTCCATACGTAACCCCATCCAAGGCACCCCATCCGGGTGTGGAGTCCACTCCCCACCTCGACATGCTCAATGTGCCGGTCCCGAGCAGTTCTCTCGTGGCCCAGCTGCTCCTTTATGTGCTTCTCATGGGTCTGGCCGACCAACCGCAGCCCCGCTGTTCGCGGCATGCGAGTGGTTTTTCGTATGGGAACAGTAGGCAGTTCGAGAGGATTGCAAGTAGGCAGTTCGTGCGCTGATACCCGCCAGAAACAAGTGGTCAGCTTGTTCATGGTGCCCTCGCTGCATCTCTCGACGTAGTTCACCAAATTTATCTGCCCTCCCATGTGAAGCACACTCAACCCGCAACACTTCTTGAAAGTGAGGAAACACACTGCCATAAAGGTACACAGGTAGATCATGGTAGATCATCCATGAATCTACGGTTGTGTTAATCCATGTTCATTTATACATATGTTCAGCGTTTTCTGGAAATGCACCTATGAATATCAAGCTATTACCCAAGGCAGGGATCCACTCTTGACTCTTACCAATAATCCAATATCGCCTCCCCTAAGAAGAACGGCTCATGGCGAGCTTTTGGGGTGACACCTCTCTTCGCACCCTTCTCTGACGGCCTCCAAGGTTTGTTTGTGGTTCGCCATGTGATGCGCCACCGCCTCCTCCAAGGCCTCTCCAGGGGAAAATGGGGGGAGCGTGGCGTAGTGGAGCTGGCAAAGCCAGAGCCAGGTGGTTTGCTGGAGGCATGAGCAACAGAACAAAACACACCAAAACTAGCAACCCTTGCAATGACTTCTTCGAGGTTGATCGTTCCATCAAGGACTTTTACGCGGGTGTGTACGACCCAACACTTCCACATGTAGTTGCAAATGCATCCATACGGTCCATATGGCTAGGATATAGTCCATGACCATGACGATTGAAGGCGACGACGGCTTCAGCAACATCATGATGTTTTGGCACAGTCTCGCGCAAAGGTTTAAGTCTTGCGCAAATGCAGCAAGACAAGAGTCGGATGATGTCGGATGCCTCTTTCAGCAAATGTCTCTTCTTTTGCCACATCGAAGCGTCTTATGTTCTACAGCCCCACTTAAAATCTCGCTGGCCACCGAAGTCCTGCAACCAAAAACCCAGCGGATTCAGCCGATAGCTGCTATGTTGTGTGAAAAGCTGTGAAATCCGGAGCCTGTTCCTCCAAAGCCTCCACATACGAGAGGCAGAGAGGAAACTGGGGAGATTGAAATATCGCTCTAAGAAAACAACTGCACCCGAGGGTGCTGATGACCAACACTGGCCAACCACCGCAAGAGCATGAGAGCCTTTCACAAAACAAAGAGCTGCTGTGCCTTTGGGAACAATACGACACTGCTCTTTCGGATATTAATTGATTGCCTGTACAAGGCTGACTGGTTGGACGACACTTGGCCTACAATTTCAGCAGCCCACGCATCAGCTCGCCAACCAGTTGGCCGCAAATCGTCTAAAGTCCCTTCGGATTTTGGATATCTTGCGTCTCAGTACGGCCGGCGTGTCAGGAACACCTATCACCGGCTGGGTGTGCGTGTGACTGCACCAACCACCGGATCGTACTTCTCGGAATCTGAAGCCTTCAAGATGGCCTTGGGGATGTCTTCCTCCACTTCGCCTTCTGAATGCGCCTCAGTCCAGTTGCGCCATTTGCGCCAGTGGAGTTGCAGGGATTTGAACTTCAAGTTTGAGACTGCGTTGTAGAAAACTGGCACTTGGAACCTAGAATGGAAGTCATAGTCATCAAAAGGGAAAAACTGAATGAATCTTCAAACATCAATCTGTGGGCTTTGTTCTGGACAAGGGATAACCATTACCCGTCGCGCGAACTCGTCAGACCAACCAATCAACAAAGCAAAACAAAACAAAATGGTGCAGTGCAGTACATAAGCATGTTCAATAACAATACTGTTAGTTTTGGTCCAGGCTGCAGAGAAATGCAAATGTCCAAAGCGCCTTTCCCATTCATCACCATCGTAAGCATCGATCCTTTGAGCTTGAAATGGAAGAGCAGGTTCAACACGCATGGCCTGTCACTGTGGGCTCTAACACCGGTGCCATGCGTTGCATGCTATTGAAACCCTCTCATGTCTTGGTGCCACAGGTCTTGGTAGCTGAGGCTCGGAGGCCGAACATGGTATGGTTCGGCGTCTTCTCCCTCCAACATGCCACATCTGATTCGAAACATGCCTAGTGGATCCTTTTTTTGGCAGCAACTTCATTTATCACCCCAATTGTGGTTTAGGGTCCCCAATGCAATATTTCAAGTTGGGGACTCACATTTGGAACTTTCCCGACGAAGTTTCCGTCATGGCTGCCCACTTCCTAAATCCTTTACCCTGGAAGACAATGACGATCAAAAGAAAGGTCTACAGTAAAGCAGCTGTTTACACCGCACGTGTTGGCACTCAGAATTTGCTTCTGGCACTCTGGTAGAAGAACACCAGTTCCCAAATGCATTTGTTCCAAGAAAATAGTTGAATTACCCTCCCACAAACTAACATGGAAGCTGAGAATGGACCGGTGGAAAACCATTTTCCTCTACAACCCAGTGGTTTTGGGGTTCCATGTTAGTCTGCGGGGGAGTAGGGGCCATTGGGGTATCTCTGACATACAGTGCTAGCACGCAACTTCTGAGAGCCAGCACGCGCAAGTACGAGTTCCGCAACGCAAGTGCTGAGCAAACTAAGCATATAATTGGAACAAACCCGCAAAGTGCTGAACGAGCCTCAGAAATCAGGTCGTTTCTGTTGCCCAGCGCCAGCTTGCTCAGGTCGGTCACAGACAGTTCCGGGGTGGATGGTGCGGATACAGCACCAAGCACCGTCTTCCTGTTTGGAACGCTTCCAGCGGAACCCATTGGCGAAAAACACGGCACACGGAAGCTTCAGGCTTGATCGTCCAAAAGCTTACAGTATCAGGCAGCAAATCCAAACCATCCACATGACTAGCATGACTTATATAATATGTTATGCTGTGTATGTATATATATATATATTATATTACTAAACTATAGTAGGGATGTATCTTGATAAAATTGAAGTATTCTTCCCGCGCAACTCTCTTCCACTCTTCCCTTGACTTCTTGGGGTCATGGTCTTCACACTTGGTCAAGGCAAGCAGTTTGTCCAAAAGGAAAAAGAACTGTCTTTAAAGCACAGGTTAGGAAAATGGTCACTGCTCTATGCAATTAGATATCTATCTTGGCTCTTACATGCTCATACCAACAAATATAAGTCATTGCTCTCAATGACCAAAAAGATACCTATCATAGTTCTTAAAGCAACACGGGTGCTCTGTGAATTGCAAACTAGAGTCATCATGAACGGCATCTGTAAAGTGGCAATGGTCTTGCATGTCTTTTGTCACACTCAAAAGTCTTCACCTCAAAATAGAACTGCTTGTTGCTTTGTTGAAATCCTGTTCATCTTCAATGATCGAATCTGTTTCATTGTGGTCCTTCATCCTGGCCATTATCTTGCCTTGCATCTCTGTGATGTTGTTCCCAAAGACATCCGTGCAATCCTCTCCCCTTTAGAAGTAAGGTTCCGATGGCCATGCAATACGGTTGACAATAATATATCCAAACGGTCTATGAATCTGGGCGTTTCTCTGTTTTGAGCTCTTGAGTGCTTCACGTTTCGGTCCTTGAGTGCTTAAACACTGTGCAGTCAGCGGGTTCTGAAGCTTTGAAAGACTCAGGTTTCAGGGGTCAATCAATGATCATCAATGTCTTCTGAATTCTCCTGACCGTCCAGCGCCGTGCGTTTCTTCCTGTTTGTGTTCCATCGAAGAGATATTCTTCCACAAAAGGCGTAGTGCAATGGACGACATACCACTCTCTTGGCTTTGTGCTTGCTTGTTCATACATCAACATCAACTTGTGAAAGTCCTTCATGAAGAGGCAATAGTGGTTGTCGCCAGTTGAGACGGTCAATGTGATGAGTAGCATCCTGCTTGACCATCTTAAGGATTCTTAAAGATCAATAAAATATAGCCATTGATTGGTGCTTCTTTGCCTTTACACAACGTTGACACAGGAAACTTGACCGTCTCCCAGCTCGGTGTGTCTTCAGTTTTCTTGTACTGATACCATGCAGTACATCTGATCGCTGGAGGTTTCGTGCGACAATCACTTGCAGAAGGGCTTTTTCTTCACTTACGGCCTCGCCGATACCAGTGGCTTTCCTTGAAATGCTTTCCGCAGGCGAACCATTTGGCTGCCATTCCTTGAATCGGCTGATTGGCCTCCGCGAACTGCCTCGGGCTGTTCACCTGTGAGCCGCAGTTGTGGCTGTGCGAGCCTTCGCAGCACGTCAATGCCTTCGCGGACATGAAGGTCCTGTCTAAATCGAGCTCAGTTGGTCGAACTCCATGACACTCAAGTCCATTCTGTCCGATTGAAATTCTGTAGCGGTGGTCAGACAGGAGACCCAAGAGCTAGCTCCTACTTGCTCTTGAATGTGCATCCAAGGTCGGTTTTGCCGGAGGAGGTGCGACAGGCTTTGCGGCTTGAGCGAGTGACCCTTGAGCAAGAAGGCTTTGCTCTTCTTGCTCAGGTATGCTTCATGATTTTTCATTCCTTTGTGCTTTGTGAGATTGAGATACTCCTTGAGTCAGTGGTCTTGGTGTTTGAGATACTTATAGAATCTTATAGAGCTCCAATGCCCTTTGACTTCGATGTTGTTGATGGACCACACACCCTCACTTCACCATATTAAAGAAGAATCTCAGCAAAGGCCAAACCTTATCCGACACTGAACCCAGCCAATTGTTCGTTCCAATCTCCGTCTGCTCGATCACCCCGAACTCGCCCCGGAACTCGTCCCCGGAACTGGTCCGCTCTCGCCTCCCGCGCGTTCTTCTCGGACTCCAGGTGTTCTGTGATGGCCTCACCCTGGTGGTGCCACCACGCACGGGACCGTGACCGAGTGAGACTGGTAGAACCGACCAGTAGATGATCTGTGAAAGACTCCCCAGAAGGGAAAGCCACCCGTCGCTGTAGGTCTGACATGACAGGACCTCGAAAGTGTCCATACGAAACAGGACGATGACAAAACAGGACGATGACACTGGTGAAACAGAGCTCCGGTTCCGGTTCGAATCCCTGGCCACACTCCAAACCTAGTAACAAGTGCATCGCTACGAACGTCACAAGGGCATGCACTTGTGACCCAAAGGCACCTGACGGGACCTGGACTGACTGCCCCACCTGGCGGATCCGCAGCTGCCGTTCGTTGCCGATGGCCTCCCGAAGCTCGCTGGTCTCGGCCTTCAGCTTCCTGGGCAGCGCCAGATCGAGCTGGAAGATGCGGGGGTGTTGTGTATAATAGGGAGACGGCTGAACACTCCTTCGTGTGGGAGGTGCATAGAAGAATAGTAAGGCTTTGAGCCTCTGTCCGAACAAAATAGGTGCCCCCGATGAATAGGGAGAACTCCTGAGATAGACTCTAGTTTCCTTCTGAAATCCTATGAAATCCTTTTTCCCGAGGGTCCAACTGGGACGTCTCCCTGTTTGAATACACACCCCATGGGGTCCCAAAACTTCCGTCCAAACTCCAATCCGCTCAACTGTTGGGCATGGTGAGCGGGAACCAATCGGAATGCATGTGGCTCGGCCGAACACGACCGAGGTCCGTCATGGTGGCATGAGCACCATGTCATTCATGTACGGTCTGTTCATTCTTCCGGGTGAATCTGAAGGACTGGCATGTACGGTCTGTACGGGCGACTTCGGATTGAATCCGGGAGAGCCAAACAGGAGGAAAGCAGCGAAGCCTCTAAGCGCTGCATATGAGTAAACTGACCCAATTCATCCCAATGCCATTGGTTGGACGGTCTGATTCATACACGCTCGATGCGTCCATCCCCAGCTCGATGCGTCCGAGCTGCTCAATGGTGGCCAGCGACAGATGCTGCTTGGCCTTGAGAATCCGGAAGACGCCGTGGGCCGTGGGTAAAGGCAAGGTGTTTTGGGGTTCTTCCATAAGGCCCTCCCTTCTTAAGGGCGCCTTATTGGCACCTTCTATTACTCTTTGTCCTCTCTTTCTTTATCATCTTTATCTAAATAGTCCTCGTGTTTGTAATGTTCACTGTCATCCTATTTCCCGTCCTCGCATACTTCGGTCACACCACCAGGACTTTCACGTTGCACAAACAGCTGACGAGTTCGGTTCTTCCACTGGACCAAGCTTCACAAGGAACAACAACTTGTTTGTTTGGTCCAATTCTCTAAGATGGTGAACACAAGTTTCAAACTTCTCGATGTTACTTAATATAAATCAAATAAAATCTGGTTCACGCCTGTTCCCTACACAAAATCTGACGCACCCCCACATCTTCCCCCAAACAAGATCCGCAGCGCTCCTTTCGCTCAAAAGTGGGAATTCTGAGGCTCCGACCTGCTTGTCCACCGACTCACCCAGCAAGGACTCCACATAGCTCAAGCGCTCCTGGTGACGGTGGCGGTGAGATTGATTCCAGGACCTCCAAGCGAAAACCCCTCATGGGAAAGCTGTCTCAAAGTGGAAAGCACGTGAAATCCTTCTTCTGCGCCTGGAAAAATGACAGCATCTCGCAGTGGAGGCAAAAAGCCGAAACCACATCCAAGAAAAGACCGAGGTCACATCTCATCATCTATCTCTTTGCTTGGTTGACATGTCGGGCATGCACGCACACTCCGACCCCCACACACGAAGCCTGGGAGTCTGCTGGAAGGCCATGGTCCGCTCCATCGGATTCCACATCACAACTTCCAGCCGATGGTGTCATTGCACCGTCACCATTCGTTTGACAACCAACGACATGAACGCCTTTTGGAGCGGAAAGCTCTCCTTCGCTGGTGACGAGCCAAGCCGATCCCGTCCTCCAGGGAAGAGTGGTGCATCTCGCGAGTGGAACGCTCCTTGGACATGTGATCCGCCGTGCTGTTGGCGTGCCGTTCTCTCGCCTGCACACATTTGGCACTGCGTCATTGTGAGGCCCTGCGTTCGCTCCACTTGTTGGATCAAATCCTGGATCTGGCCAGCAACTACTAGTTTGCCTAGCAGTGGTTTGGTCGATCAGGCCACTGGAAACACCTCAATTGTTTTTTCACCCCTAAGACATGCTTTCTGGAAAGATTTGAAACAGCATGGACTCTTTGCTTATCTACCAGCTAAAGGCAACGGGATGGGAGGGAGAGCTGCTCCCACATCTTAGATCCCAGAACAGATTGCCTTCTTCCCACTTTTCGCAAAGACGGCCACGCCTCCTTTTCATCCCCCAGGCGGGAATGAAGGGCTGCCAACTTGCCTCGGTTCAATGTGGCCAACCCACGGCGAAAATACCAGGGCCCCCAAAAAGGAGGCTGCGTCCCATCCCCAAACGCCACCGCCGGACCCTCGCTCCCAAGCTCCGCCGAGGGGGCCGCTGTGCGCCGAGGCGATCTCCAAGGCGTGGCGGTCCGCGGAGTCTCCCAGGGCCTGACGGAGACGGAGCGACGGAGACGGGTCCGGTGGGATCGAAAAAAGAGACAAACTTGAAACTTGAAACTGCAGGTGACCTGAGAAAAGGGTGCAATCCTAATAAACCATTTGAGGCTGTCTGACTCAAACAACTTGTATTTGCTGATGTTTCATCTACAGAAGAGAGTCACTATCCTTCAGCTCATTTGACTCATTCATTCTTAACAAAACCGTGACCCTACGTAGATCCGCGCATCATGCAACTTGGAGATTGCGACATAGTAGCCATGCTCAGGTCACCCACCATAGGCTGTTCAGACAGCCGCTGGCCTTCTCCAAATAATCCAGGCGTTCACCAATGGAGGCCTGTGAAACCGGGGACGATGAAGCTCCGACAAAGGCTGAATGAACACCATCATGAAACCCAGCTCATCGGTTGAAATCTGATTCCAAACGTCGCAGAGTCGACCAGTGAGTTCGGTCGGCCGGGAACAGGTTCTGGACCCATCACCCTTTTTGCAGCAGAAACGATCGGTTGGTCTTGAAAGTAAGACTTATTTAATATAGTGTCATAGTGTTGGAGAGTTGTGTTGGTGTTGGTGTCGGAGTTGGAGTTGGTGGTGGTGGCGGTGGTGGTGGTGGTCCATGTATTACAGTTACTAACATATACAAAAATAGTATTATACTATGACGCATTCTGCGAACCTGGAGAATCGAGTATCACACCAAGAGCCCCCTGTCCGTCTCGGACCCACCTCTATCACCGCCCCCCTCCAGCCTCTCCCACCGCCTTGTTGCTGGCCAAGGTGGCATGAGACTTCTTTAGGGACTCGATGTGTTCCCCGTGCACCTACCGTCTCAAAGAGTGAACCGCGGGAACACGCACCGACGGTGAGTCGGACCAGCTGGCGAAACAAGTGGACCCGAAGTCCGAAGTGAGCACCGAATCAAACTGATTCTCATGGCTGCGGAGTCGCAAGTGGTAGCGCGCGCGTGCAAGCGCGCGTCAAAAAAGAAAGCGCCGCAAGGCGCACCCTTTTGCGCTGCAAATGCGAATGCAAATGCTTGGGCCAAGCTTCGGCCAACAAAGGTCAGACATGGTTCAACCACATGCCACCTACGCACATCAAACACATCCCAGGAAGGAAGTGCTGACCTTTGTGGCATTTCCAGCAGCGAACCGGGCCTTTCGGCGTTCGCGCTGGGCCTTTCGGAGGTCACGTCGATGGCTCTCGATCCGTGCCTCCTCCTGCGTCTCCTTAAGGGACAGCAATCCCTTGGCGGAGAACTCTGTCCAGAGCGGATTGTTCATCCGCTTCGTGAGGCCATCGGCGTACTGCCGGTACGTTGGCACCCATCGCAAGTGGAAGGTGCTTGCCTCCAGCATCTCACGAGTGACCATTAGGTCCAGCATCGTCTGACGCTCAGACGGCACCTGGCCGGTGGTCCCAAGGTGGTCATAGAGCGACCGGGCATCTGTCACCATGTAGCCTTGGACCGTTAGGTCCTTGCGCCAGTCCTCGCTCAGCTTGAAGCTGCCCTTCTGCAGCATCTGGATCAGCAGCCGAGCATAGAGGTGTCTGTCGATGGCCTGTGACATTGATGCCGCCTCGGCTGCCATCGATGAGCGGACCACGCGGGTCGACTTGGAGCGAGTAAAGTCGATCACCGCTGCCGGCTGAGGTCCATACTCCACACCAGTGTTGGTGATGAAGTGGATCTGTCCCAGCTGGGACTTGCCGTCCTTCTCCTTTCCTAGTGACGCGTCAAAGAACGTCACCAGGCACAGCTCCCCAGGGATCTTGGGATACCTCAGGGCGGCCCGCCCGGCATCCTTCTCCTGAACCATGAGCTTATGCGCCTTCAAGGCGTCTTGGAAGTCTCCGTGGGTCGCACCGGAGACTCGCTGTGCCAAGCGGCTGATCTCGTAGAGCAGGTGGGGCATCACCTGCTGGGCCGGCCATCTAAGCCTCCCTTCTCCATCTCAGGCAGGCGGATCTCCTCTACATACTTCTTCATGGAGTCGAGGAGGACGCCACCACTCCTTTCCAGATCCACCCCCAGGAACGTCAATGGCAGGATCTGCCATCCCTTGATGTTGAAGAGGCCGTTGATCTGTGCCTTGAGGGCTGTGAACCTTGGATCCGTAGCTGATCCCATCAACAGCCCATCGTCCACATGCAAGCACAGGATGGCCCATGTACCATTTCCATCCCATGCAGCGAACGTGGCCTTGGCGATGTCCAACTCCTTCAGGGGAGTCTCGGCCAGCAGCTTGCAGGCCTTGAGATACCACAAGCGGGGCGCTTCCGTCAGGCCATATGCCGACTTCAGAACTCGGAAGAGTTGCCCACCTGTCACCGCCTCCATTTGCTTGGTCTTCGAGAGACCTTCTGGTGGTGCCCTGACATAGATCTCTCGATCAGTGCGCTCACCGCTCAAAAATGCCGTTGTGACATCGAAAGACCAGAGCGCCCATCCTCTCGCCTGAGCGATCGCCTTAGCGATCTTGGTGGCCGTAGCTCCCACCGTAGGAGCATCGGTAAAACCGCCCAAGTCTGGGTCTCGGTGGCCCGGCACCACAAGCCGGGACTTGGCCACCAGAGGCAGAGTCGCTGCTGCTGCCTTGTTCGTGCGAACCATGCGAAGTGGGGCCTTGAAGATCTGATGCCTTGGCACCTTCTTGAGCTCTGCCGGAAACACCTTCTGTACGACCTCATTGTTCAACCACTGTTCCCACTCTTTTGCATCGCTGAGGTCAAAGGCCTTCTTCTCCTGCTCATTGAACCATCGTGGGTCGAGCTCCTTCCCATTTTGTTTCAGCTTGAGGAGCATCACTTCATTCACCAGCACGTCCTTCAGCTCCTCCAACCACAACTGCTCAAACTCTCGCCTGTCCTTCGGCCCGAGGCAGGCCTTGTAAACACCAGTGGGCAGTTGTACATATGTGGCCTGTGGCTTCCGTCCCCTCTTCTTATACAGCATGGTCATTCCCTTCCAGTAGAATGCCACCTTTCTCTTTGGTGCTGCAGCCACCTCGCCCTCATCTTCGTCCACCACGAAGGCGTCCATGGGGTCCTCTCCAATGAGGATCGAGAGCCTTGACCGACTCACAGCCTTCGGTGGCCGCATCAGCCTCTTCCGAGGCTTCCTGTGTATGCGCGCCGCGCTCAAAGGCAGGCCAGTGAGTTTCTTCAGAGTCTCGAGCTCCTGCCTAGAGACCCACTCGTTGGCTGGTCCACTGGCCGTTGCTGCAGTCATGGCCTGTACGATCCACGAAGCATGAATCCTCGACCTCTTGTTCGGCAGTCCTGCTGCGTCCTCCTCCGTCAGCTTCCTCTTGATGGAGATGGGGACGTCATCCATGAGGCGCTGCCTCCTGCGTTCAGGATCTTCTTGCTGCCATTCCTGCCGAGCTGCCTCCTCCCAAGTTTCATCCTCCCAGTCACCATCGTCCTCTGGTACCGGAATCTCATGGGGCTCCGGGGTCCGCTCCACCGGCTCTTCAGCAGCCATCGGCTCATCCTCCTTGACTTCCACCTCTTCAGGAGGCATGGGAGCTCCTGTCGGAGTGTACTCCTCATCAACTTCCTCCTTCTCTTCCGGCTTGGCCTCCGGCTGAGGCTCCAGCTTCCGCTTCCTCGAGAGACGTGGAGCGTGAATGCCCCGTTGTCTCAACAGCCGACTGACGGCCTTGGATCCCCTCAGCATTCTTCGAGCCTGCTTTCTCTCCGGGTTTTCAGGCTCCTTCACCCTGACTCGCTTCCTTGGTCGGCTTGGTGGTGGTCGCAGCGACCGCAAGTCCTGGTAGGAGATTCTCAGGTGCTCCTTGCAGGATCTCGAAGCACCCCCTGAAGATCAATGATCTCCTCCCTCACTGGCTCAGTGAGTGCAAGCTCATCCTTGGATGCCAGACGTAAATTCTCCTCCGCCAGCAACAGCAGCCTGCCCCTCCAAGAAATAAAATACCTCTTGGTGGCTTCCTTGACTACCACTGTGCGGGGCCTCGCCAGGTTCCACCTGGCTTATATCGAGCTCTCTGGCTCGGGGCCCAAAAGTAGACCCTGCTCCCTGGCATGAAGGGTCCTTGCGAAACCGCTGGTTTCCTGAGGATGGCTCTCCTCATTTTGTCTTGCACATCCTGTCGTACGAGAGCCACTCGGGCCGTGACCCTCATCCGATGTGCTCGGGCTGCTTCCGTCTCCGTTGACATGCCTTCCAAGTAGCTCAGCCCGGGGTTCTCCTCTGTGAGGCTTGGCCAAGTGCACCCCATCCCAAACACCCGTTGGTTCGGAGTGTAGCCATCTCGGGTCACCGTGGCGTTCTTCGCCATGCAGGCACATGCCAGCGCCTCCTTCATAGCTGTGTAGCCCTCAATGGTGTGCTCTGCCACCACGCTGTGAAGGGCCTGGCCCAACAAATCACCATGGCGCTCTCCGACGCCCAACTGCCATCCAGCGTGAGCTCCCGTCACCTTGGAACTTATACTGAACTGCTCCAAGAGGCCACACCTTCGAATTCTCCTCCTTGATCGTGAACAATCAACTCCAGGCTGCCATACGGCTGGATCCACTTGCGCAGGAAATTGGATGCCACATAGTCACTCCTGCGGATCTTGATCATGTGTGCATCGTGCTTGCAGGTGCCCAGATCCAAAATGCTCAATGCAGCATAGCGTTTCCCCCTTGCATCCCAGAGGTACTTCACGTCAATGTGGAGGGTCTTGTTGAACCCGTAGGGCCTGGTGCTGGCAGTCGCCGCTTGTGGGTGCTTTGGCATTTGTCGTGCCACGCAAACACTGCACTTCCACTTCTTGGCATAGCGGATGGCGTCTGGTGTGGCGCCGCTCAACTTCATCATCCGCACCAGAGTGGACTGTGATGGATGCCCCAACTGTCGATGGGCTGCACTTCTCTGCTGACGGGATGCCTCTCATCCTCCTCAGGTTCCTCCTCCAGATTGTACTTGCCTCCGCTGGAGAAGAAGATGTCCATCCTCTCTCGCCTGGTCAAGGCTGCACGAGAGAGGAGCCTCTGGGCGAATGACTTGTCGGAGATCGTGGTCTCCGTGTCCTCCTTGAGGTACTCTCCCCTGAGTCTCTTCAAGGTGGAGATGTACGCTGCGATGCTCTGGCCAGGTGCTCTCCTGTACGCCAGGTACTCTTCCTGCTTCTGCTCGAAGCGTTCTTCAGCCCTCGCGCCAAAAGACTCCTCCAGAATTCTCATGACTCTGCCTGACTTCAAGTTGATTCAAGATTTGGCGCGGCTCTCCCTGGCAGCTGAGATAGATGAGCATGGCCAATTCGGCATCCTCCAGCTTGTAGAGATTCGTCTGGGCCTCAATGATGCGCTTCCAGTCGCGGTAGTGCGATCGGCTCCCCCTGAAGGTCATCAGCATTTCTCGGATCTCTGACGTCCGGGCTGCGGAACTGGTCTCTGACCCTTCTGAGGCATCTCTCCCTCGCCGGCGCTGCCGTGCCTTGGGTTTCGGTTCAGGCCTTGGGGCCGGCTGTGGTGGATCGGCTCGATCCGGCTGTCTGGGGCGCTGCTTGGCCTTTGCCTTGACCTTTGGGGCAGCTCTTAAGGCTGATGCGTTCCCCTCACTTGGCTCCACGATGGGGTCATCTGTGGGCCTCACTTCAGCCTCTTCTTCTTCCTCCTCTTCACCATAGGAGGAGTCATAGTCCCCAGACTCATTGCTGTCATCCGGTGGCGGATTCACACGCTGCTTCTTCTTCGGCTGCACCTTGGGAGCTGGGGTGGATGAAGTGCCACCCGAACCTCCGCATTGAGGGCGCTCTGCACGGCCTGGTTGATCATGTCCTGCATGTCCGGCTCCTTGTGCTTGCCCTTGCCTTTCTCATAGCGCTCTTCATGCTCGTAGGGCCAGGTGTTCTTCCCCTTCTTGCCCTTTTGCTGTCGATCCTCACCTTTTCGTGAGGCGGACCGTCCCTTGGACTTGCCCTTGCGAGAGTCACCCTTGTGACTGGTGCCTTTGCGGCTGTCGCTACCCTTCTCTCGCTTGCCCTTGTTCTTTCCTTTCGGAGGCGCTGCCTCGTTGGAGCCCTTACGGGCGCGGTCCTGGCTCCGGCCTCTGCTAGAGGCCCGATGGTCGCGGCCATCCGGACGAGCATCGTCCTCTTCGGAGGCGTTCCAGTCCGGAACCTCCTGGCCATCTCCCATGGCCGAGCGGTCGCCCAGAGCGAACCGCTCCGCTACCAATGCGGAGTCGCAAGTGGTAGCGCGCGCGTGCAAGCGCGCGTCAAAAAAGAAAGCGCCGCAAGGCGCACCCTTTTGCGCTGCAAATGCGAATGCAAATGCTTGGGCCAAGCTTCGGCCAACAAAGGTCAGACATAGTTCAACCACATGCCACCTACGCACGTCAAACACAATGGCATGTTCCATTGTCACCAAAGTGTATGCGGCTTTCCATTTAGCAACCGACCTTCTCTTTCGCCTGTTTCGCGTTGTTAGGTTGCGGCCGAGTCTTCGCTCCGGGCCACCACTTGAAGTGAATCAGACCAGCCCGCAAGTGACAGTACTAATGATTACACCCGTCAAGGCGAACGGCACAAGGCTGCTGGTCCCAAGACTTCCACTTCACCAGGCAACCCTGGACCTCAAAAAGGGTGTCTAACTAATGTTTCTATAGAGGCTGTTGACCCTGGACCGCTGTGATGATGCTCGAACACTGGCTTTTGCTTCGGCCACTCGGCCACACCGTTTCGGCACCTCGCACTTGGCAACCCGAGAGTGTAGATCTTCCAGCTTGCTGTGGGCATTCGCCAGCTCCTGTCAATCTCCGAATCTCCTTGGATTAAAAATTCGTAAATCATTGGTGCCAGCACAAACATAGGTATAAGAGACATTGAGAAATGTCAAATGTAGGAACCTCTGAGAGAAAAAATGTAGGAAACCGTTTCTGGGTATATGATATCAAACCGATCTTGCTCCTGTTATCCAATGAAGCAAGTCTGTGCTCCACCTGCACTCTGTCATCATCTGCTCCTGCGTGTGCTTGTGCGCGGAGTCGCCGATCGCCTTCTCCAGGTATTGGATGCGCTCCACCAACCTGGAAGCAGAAAGAGCGGGATGTTAAGTTGCTTGGGGTTTGCGTTTTTAAATGTAACAAGTGCTTTCGGCATGGGCTGCTATCGCTAGACTCAATGAAGTGTTCGTGGAATCTGGCGGGGAAGTTCAAAACACTTCTTGTAAAATTGTACAGCTTCTCCTGAATATTGGAGCACGCCTCAAGAGTTAAGACTGGCGCCTTCCGAGGAGCCTTCCAAATGAACACAACCTAAGGCCTAAGGATCCTATCGCTGGTATATGTTCCTCCAGTCACCACTAGCCGGTCTTAGTCTTTGTCTCTGCCCGCAACCTGTATTAGGTTGATGGTTTGTCTTCAGATCAGGTTTGGCCAACTTTGGCCAAGTTTGGCCAGGTTTGGCCAAGTTCGGCCAAGGTTTGGCCAAGTTTGGCCAGGTTTGGCCAGGTTTGGCCAAGGTTGGCCAAGGTTGGCCAGGCTCGGCCAAGTTTGACAAGGTCTGGCAAAGTTCGGCCGGGTTTGGCAAAGTTTGGCCAAGTTTGGCCAGGTTTGGCCAAGTTTGGCCAGGCTTAATTTTCGATGTCCAAAAACACTTATTGTTTTTCAATTTGGCAATGAAAAGCACTTCTTTGGCCGAAGAAAAACCTCACAAACACTTGTTTCAATCATGTGTTCGACAAACTTGACCAAACGTGGCCAAACCTGGCCAAACCTGGCCAAACCTGGCCAAACTTGGCCAAACTTGGCCAAACCTGGCCAAACCTGGCCAAACCTGGCCAAACTTGGCCAAACCTGGCCAAACCTGGCCAAACCTGGCCAAAGCTGGCCAAACTTGGCCAAACCTGGCCAAACCTGGCCAAACTTGGCCAAACTTGGCCAATCGTCGTCAAACGTCGCCAAACCCGGCCAAACCTGGCCAAACTTGGCCAAACCTGGCCAAACCTGGCCAAACCTGGCCAAACCTGGCCAAACTTGGCCAAACCTGGCCAAACCTGGCCAAACCTGACCAAACCTGGCCAAACCTGGCAAAACTTGGCCAAACCTGGCCAAACCTGGCCAAACTTGGCCAATCGTCGTCAAACGTCGCCACGGCCAAACCTGGCCAAACTTGGCCAAACCTGGCCAAACTTGGCCAAGCCTGGTCAATCTTGGCCAAAGAGTCAGTTACTGAAAAACTTTGGGGAAACACAAAGGAAGTGCTTATACACCATCTTTGGCCTTTAAACAAATGTTTTGGGGTATGGCGCGTAGACCAAAAACACTTCTCCCGGACGAAGCACCAGGTTTTAGCGAAAGACCAGAGATAAGCAACTTAACAGAGCGGGAGCGGCGAAGAAGGTCAAAAAAAACATGGCACAACGTTTGAAGCGGCTGCGTCTTGACCCTTGAAACGTCTGTTGGCTGCCTTCTTCCACGCGCATGAAGCAATGTGAAGCATACTGCAAAGTTTGGCTCTGATGTTCCATATGACTGCGAACTCTGTGGACCGGGGATTACAACGTCTCTCTTGGCGGTTATTGGTGGCAAAAGCCTCACGTTTTTCTGAGTCCAGAGCGTCTCGTGATGCGTCTCTTTGACCTTGCTGTCACTCTGCAACTTCACGTGATGGGCCTTGATCTCAGCTAGAGCCTCCGGCGCAGACACTCGAAGCCTGGACAAGTGAAGCCTGATTCATGTTTCGAGCAAGTGAAAGCCTGGAGTCGACTTGACAAGACCTCACATCGTTGATGCTGCAGTATCAATCCCGCCAAGTCCAGAAACACATTGCACAAGCGCAAACCTAGCATTTCACCTGCTTCTCAAATTCCGGGTTTGCACAGGTCCGGAGTCTTCCAAACCGGTCCTGAGGTCCAAACCGTCTGTCTTCGGGTCTGCCCCCTGCCGTCCACCTCTCGACGACTGCGCCTTGTGATGTTTGTCCGCATTGTCCCCAATGGATTCCTCCAGGAACTCCACGCGCTCCCTAGACAAACCGTGGTGCCAACCGCGGGGTCGACACGGGGCGTGTCCAAGCGTGTCCTGTTTTCGGGGGCGCGAAGAAAACAAACACGGGGAGAAGAACTGGTTCGGAGTCCGTTAAGATGGTTTCGAAGGTGAGTCAAAACATACCTGGATAGATGATGAATGGTTATGATAGATGTCCCTTGTTATGGAGCATCTTTGTGTCACCAGTACCTTCTTCTGACCGTCGGGAGTTCTTTGGACCGACCTGAGCTTCTTGTCGTTTCGTGTCGTTTCGTCTCAACCCACCTCCCAAGTGTTCTCACAGTAAGCCGATCCCCCAAAAAGGAATTCGTTGCTGCACGGGCTTCCGCCGTCCCCCCAGTCCACCCACATGATTACGCAAAGACTTCCGAATTCCCCATGGTGTAAAACCGTTTGAAGATACCGGTGTAAAGCCATTTGGTCAGCTGCTCTCCCAATATGGATTGCTGCTCTACCGTTGAAAATGCCAGAAAGCCATCAGTGATCCGGTCTCTATCTCTTGAGCCATGTCTAGGGATCCGGTCTTTAAGGAGGCATGGGCCATCTCCTGCTGGGCCCGATGACCTCAGGGACGTTGGAGAAAAAAAAAAACGTCTGAGAGACTCTGTCAGCCCAAGGAGGTCAGGTACAAGGATCCTTGGTCCATGAAAATCTTAAGACCGACGGGTCCCCGAGTCTTCTTCAATATCCTTGAGTCACCATGCTGACATTGTCATGCTCTCTTTGATAACATGGTCATGTCCCAGGGTTTGGTACAAAAAGCCGCAGTGATGCGGCGTCACCCGTCTTGTCAAAACCGACAGCATTCTATCTGGCACCGACATCAACCATGAATGGGGCCAACTCTTGACATTGAAGCTGATTCTATCTCCATCTCTCAGTGACAGATGTTCATTGAGACGCTCCAACACCGGGAGTTGAACATCAGAGGTTTCACCCGTGTCACCAGCGGTTCACCAGCAGGCACCAGCGACGTCTGCACGGGATGTTCCAAGTTTGAGACCTTTGGGGGTTCACAATCCCTGCAATCCCTGCAGCAGTGTGGGTTCGATCATCGATTTCTCCATGCATTGGTGGTCTTTTCATGGGTCCTTTTGTTTCCCAACATGTCTATATGGATTTACAATGTACAGTAACGGAGCCCATCTCCAAGCTAGATCATGAAGCTCATCGAAATTGTGGCGTGACTCAGAAGTGTGTTGACTTGATATATAATATTGAACCTGGAGCGGAAGAAAAAGAAGGTAAAAACACGGGTAGATCTCACTTTGCAGTCGAGTGGGCATTCTGGCTGTGAGGACCGATGGCATCTGGGAGTCCAACCGCTCGAGAAGGCATGAGCTTTCTTAAGCTCATCAATCTGCTCACCATGCCTCGTCGGAGGTGGGAGGCAGAGAAAATATGTGAAACAAGGGTCAACGCCCCAGTAGTGTTAGCAACCCAGTAGGGCCAGCGTAAATCCAGAAGCTTGCTTCCGGCTTTTTGCCTTCTCGAGATAAACCATCATAAAGAACAAACGGGTAGAGCCGGCAGAGCACTGTCCTAGATTTCGAGAACGGGACATGAAACATGTCAAACATGAGTGCACGCTAGAATGGGAGCCCCGAACCAGCATAGGTTCAGTCTATCTTCTGTTCAACTAGCTCTAGGATGGTCTTGGAGGATTTCCTACTTACCATGCCTTTCCCTTTCATAAGTCCAAATGTATCCAGTGTCTTCCTTTGCTCCTCGTTCAGTCGGCGTTCCCAACTGGGTGCTCCCGACTTCTCCACCTGTGACAAGCGGCTGTGCACCTGGCTGACGTGTGAACGTCTCCACGCGTGGCGGGCGCAGGGTCATGTCACCATCGCAACACGTGGCGGACTCAAGAGGTCTAAATCCAAAAGCAACTTTAGAGGCATAAGGTCCATAAGCATCAGACATGCATGAGACTTGTGAGACTTGTAACTTTCAACCCACGGCCATGTCAGAGCTGCCCGATACACCAATTTGGAGCAATGATGCCGATGAGACAACTGCACTACTCACTCTGTTGCTCACGATACCGATGAGACAACCTTTCCAGAGCAACTTTGATTTGGTGAAAGACATTAACTACTGGTATTTCACAGTGACGTTTTTCAGCCACGTGCTGTGTGTCTCCAAATCTGTCTGGAATCACTTCATGCCTCTATCTCAGGGCCTTGTTGGAGCATCTTAAGGCCTGCTTGAGTACTTTGATCCTGGGTAAGAGCGATGACACTCTGCCTGGTCAAGTTTCGTCTGGGCCAGCTGCACTTCCTGGCGGAAGGCGCGTCCGGATTGAGCACATCAGTGCGCGTCCGATCATCCGGCGGGCACGGCAGCTTGAATGAAACGAAAACCAAAAATGAGTCCCATGCGAATCCCAGTCTTCAAGTCACGGTAACGATCCAACCAAAAGGTCATCCCACACTGGGCTACGGAATCAAATCGGCACCGGGACGGATTGGTGGGCACCAGAGTTCCGGACCTTCGTCGCTTGAGCATGCTTGTCTGCCGAATCGCCCAAGTTCTTCTCCAAAAAGCCCACACCTCAAAGCAGAAATCAGCGTTTTAGGCACCGTGACGATGTAATTATATGGAAGAGACCAAGTCGATGAAATGCCCAGTGGGACCCAAGTTGAAGAAGCGGCTTCCTTCCAAACACTTCATGCCATACCGGGGTGTCGCACCTCCAAACATGTCGCATCGTGTCAAACGTGTCGAACGTGAGCCGTGTGCTTGGCCAACGACGTTCCTCCAAGCCAGCATGCGCCAAGCCACGAGCCTGGCGACCCGACGGGGTGATCGAAACGAGCCGTCGGTGGCGGCGAAAGCAACTGCAGCAACTCGACAGAACCGTGAGAGAAGTGACTAGAGACTATTTGCTTTGCATATGAAAGAAGCAACACTGCTAAAGCCAGGTTCTCCCAACTGTACACACATTTCACATGCACACACCCAGATCATCACGTCACCCGATCTGCGGGTCACATCTGATCGAATTTCCACATCCTCTTCGCGGGCGGGCAACCCCACTTAATCGCACAGGATTCCCTGTGCTTCAGAAGTATATAAATATAAATCTGGTCTTCTGTCTTCTTGAAAAATTATTGCATGCATTATCGCCCGGTAGATACAAGAGAAACGCCAAAACAAAACAAGGGGGGCTGCGGCAGTCAATGTTCAGTTGGCACCTTGATCTCCTGCATCACTTTGGAGTGGCTGGAGCGGTGGCTTTCATGCTCTTTGGAGTGTCCCGTGAGCAGCTCCTGCGACAAAGCCAGGATGCGCCAAGAGCGGCTCTTCAGGAAACAAACTAAGGAGAGGAGGATGGCTGGATCAACGATGGTGATTGCTCTAAGGAAATCCCTCTTTGGTGTTTATTTGATGTGCCAAGAATCGTTGGTGTCTAAGCACTCTAAGAAATGTTTGATGATCCTCTTCCTGATCTTGCTCTTTCGTGAGTGGCAGTGGAGGCTTGTTCTTCACCCGTCCAAAAAATAGTCCAAAGTCGGCCTCCAATTCTCCAAGCCGTGTCATCAAGGAGGCATGACTACCTGGCAAACAGCACAAACTCCAAAAAGCTGCGTGCCACGGTCATCTGTGGGCAGAAACTCTGTGGTCTTGACGCAAACGTGCGCGCGATCGATTGGACCGCGCCTTCTCGAGCGACTTTCTCACGTTCCATGAGGTGCTGACTCTTCGCCACATGCGCCTGGCGGAGACTCAGAGTGGCATTGTCCCCTCCAAGATCCTCCAAGGCATTTTCGCTTGATGGGGCAACAGAAATCACACCAAGAATTCACCTCCTCTCGTTCTGTCTCAAAGAAATCCAACTCTCGAATCACTTGTGCGAACACCCGGGTCGTTTGAGAAGACCGCCCGGGTCGCATGCGAAACCCGAAACGCTTCGCTGCTGTTGGTTCTGCTGTTCGCGACGGTTCGCTGCTGTTCTTCTTCGGTGCTTCGCCTCTTGGGCGGTCTTGTGATCGGTGAGCTTGCTATGGAGCTGCTCCACCTTCTGATGTGCTGCGGCCAACTCCTGGCAGTGTGATTGGACTCGAGTCTCCACCCAAACGCTGAAGCACCTAGTAATTGGGTGTCCTACTATGGTTTTCGGATGGCAAAACAAGGGGATCCTCACGGCTTCTACCACCTACAAGCCAGAAACGAGTGCTTATATGACTTATATGTGCTTATCATTCTTGGGGCGGTCCAATTGCTTGCTCGAGTTCGGGGCATTGCTACATCTTTTGCCAGGTTTTGATGGATTTGCAGGATTTTGCAGACTTCAGGGTGCTTTTGGAGATGCCTCTTGAAGTCTTCCATACCTTGACTAAGCCTCATCCGCTCTCCACTGGTCGTGGCTGGTTTGGGCAGTTGCTCACATGTTGCTTTGAAACCATGCCCTCCGGGCGGCCACCCTCTCCTGGGAGTGCTTCTCAGCCGAGTCTCCCAGCATCTGAGCAGAGGTAGGTTTGAGGAGGAGTTGTCCAACGATTTTACCCAACGATCTTCCTGCGTTGGCCAATATAGAGCTGTGGGATGGTCGACTGACTGAGAGTCAACATCACAGATCTCTCTCTCTCTCTTCGTTTGGACAGTGCACCTCAAAAGCATCTTCGCCTGGATGAAAACCCCCGGTCTGAAGTCACCCCCCCATCACCCCATGATTTCAGCGGAAATCAGACGGCTTAAGGGTGGCATCCGGGTGGCATCCGGGTGCCTCCAAACTGACCGAAATCGATCCTTTCGATCTCCGATCTCCGCGGCCGGTGGTGAGTTCGGCACCTTCTCCAAGAAGTCCAAGCGCTCAGCCAGGCCCAGGTGCTTCTCATGCAAGGCCTGTCCAACCGCAGCAAGGCCCAGACCGCGGAGGGAGAAGGACCGGAGGGGAAGCAGATGTCCGGCCGATCTTTTTTTGCCATGTCTTGTGGCTCAAACTGTGGCCCAACCTGCCGCCAGCTTCTGGGAAGTCTGGAAAAAGGATGGCTTTGATCCGTTACACACATTGCAAAAGGTGGTGTTTGCAAAGCCAACACTGCCGGATAGACTGACTTGGCCTTTCTCATGACTCATGCTTGGTTCACTTCAAGGCTGATCCTGCCTTGACTCCCTTGCCATGCTCCTGTGATGGGAAAGTGGTTCGAGGCCAAATGTTTTATGGTTTTGTTATGTTTTGTTGCTGTGACAAAGAATGTGCCATGATTTCGAGCCTTTCTGACAGACGAGCCTCCAGTCAACGCATCAATGTCTAGAACTCAGCGATCCAACTCTTCCACGCAGCGATCCAACTCTCTGTCTGTGGTAGAATGTACCATCCGGTTTAATGGTACGTCACGGATGTCTTGAACCAGTGGAAGGGGGAACTAATACCCAAACATTCAGCCAAAACCAGCCCATGACACAGCTCTTCAGCTGTTTGTCCCACCGACTCGCAGATTCTCCTCCAATCCCTTATGGTGCTTGTCCTGCGATGCAGTGCTGGCGTTGACCAGATGTTCAAAGAACCTGTAATGTGGAGTAAGAACCTGTAATTTGGCCTACCTGCAAACCTTTGAAACACCTCTATAGTCCTACGATGATCGAGGATACTCAGGCGAATGCAACAGCACAGCACCAAGTTCATCCGCCCAGTGACAGCATTGTCGCCCACCAGGCTCTCCACAAACTTCAACCGCTCCTGCGTTTGGGCAACAACGATCTGTACAACAGTGGCTTCGGTGGATTTCCCAAACCGTTGGTCACAGGAGATGTTTGCGCACATTGGTCTGACCATTGGGTTCAAAAGGCCTGCCTCCATGGTTGCATGCCGGTCTTCTCGAACCTTTTGCCTGAGCTGAAAATGAGAAACATAAGGTGGCAATGCCCAGCAGGACCCTGTTCCGGTTTGTGGAATACCTAAGTAGAGAAGAACAACAAGAATACCTGGGCTGCTCCAGGTCAGTCTTTGCTGCTTGCTTTCTCGACTCACCGCACAGCACTTGAGAGCACCACAAATATATACTCCATATTGTATACAATAACAATATAAGTATAAACAACCTACGTTCATCTTTTAGCTTCCAACGCGTGATGTCTCCCTGCGCAACCCCCATTCTGCGAACCATTCAAGATTGCTGAGTGACAATGGACTGAAGAAAGACCTCACTCATGTGTCTTGCATTCCCTTCCGACCTTTTTGCCCTTCCGCCTTTCTCGTGCATTCTTCGTTGTGCCGGCCATCTGGGCAGCCCAAGCTCTCCGGACACTTGTTCTCGGACATGTCCCGTGAGGTGCACCAACTTCTCCTGCTTCGGTCGCAGCGACCGCGTCGGAAAAACGTCGCCACAACGGGACCGGCGTTCGTTTGCGACGGCATGGTTGCAGGAAGGCGTCATCTGGGGTTCAGGTTTCGCTGGTGAATTTGTGAGCGGATGATGCCGCGTTGACAAGTGCTACTACATGATCATGACTGCATGAGGCTTGATTTGGTATTGAACAACTCGCGGAAGCAGGAAACTAGTGAGACGCATTGGTATATAATGGTATATACAGGTGTGCTCGAAGAATGCTCCTCTCGCTGGTTCTTCTCCTCTTGCAGCTTCCCGTGCCTGGATGGTTGAGCATGGTCCCAGAGCAATTGAACATCATCCTGTGTGGTCAGCTAAACTCATCGAAGAAGAATTCAGAAGAAGTCCTGATTTCATGAGAACCGACCAGGTCACGTCCAGACATGAGGGGTGTCCAAAGAATCCTCCCAGGTCACATCGGTGGCGATTTCGTGGATCTCACGTCGATGGCCCACTTCGCCAGTGCTGAGTTGTCACCAGGGGAATCCGGTTGTCGATGCTTCAACAAGCTCAGGTTGGATTTCGGAACCCCAAAACACCTTGCCGGCTGCATTCTTCGACCTGTCTAGGCCCCAGGCAACTGCTCGACCTTTGCGTGCATGTTGCTCAGCTCCTTCGCGGCGTTCGTTCTGTTTCTAGTTTCTTCCGACAGCAGACTCGCGACGTGCTGGCTTTAACTTCATCGCATAACCATGCACAAGCTCAAACCCAGCGAGATCCAAATGCCTTTGGGGGTGATTCGAGCGGTCTGCTTCCAGATTGAAACGAATATACACAGCTAAAGTCAGCTCAAACTGCCTTCGGTTTCAACAATGCCTTGTGGGGTTCATCTCTTGGGCATGACCCCACAAGGCATGTGTTCCATGACGTCAAAAGCGCACCCAAAAACGTCACTGCCTGTCTTCGCGCTCAGCATCTTCGGCCTTCGCGTGCTTCTCAGCGGAATCGCCGATCTTCCCTTCCACATACTCCAAGCGCTCCTGGGAACGGTTAAAGTCGGATCTCAGGTGCTTTTTTTTTCAACAATACTTCCTCTTGCTCAAGAAAAAATATATCCTGAGTTTCAGTTGGCTCAGAATACTGTATGCCACGGCTCCCTTTCGTGAATGTAGGCAGCCAAGCGCCTACCGTACTTGCAGCCTTGTCCATGGTTTTGTGCCCATGGTGCGGTGTTCCCACAGACAGGACTTCCACCAGGGAGCTGTCCTGCAATCCAAGATGGTGGCTCTGGAACTTGCTGGCACTTGCATCCAAATCCTTCGCGTGTTTGGCCTCCGAAGCAGGATGTTGACCGTACGTCCAACAGTCGTTCGGATTTCACAAAGCTCTGCGTGACAAAGGGGCTAGCTGCGGTGAGCTTTGGCCTCTGTGGGATTACTGCATGTAGCAACGTGATACACTTATCTCAGCACTCTTGCGCAAGAAACCGTGTCACCTCATGGATTTCGATCGTCCCAAAATCCTTCAAAGTTCAATACCTGGGAACGAGTAAGGATCACCTACACACTCTGAAATGGATCCCAATGTCTGAGGCATCGGTCTTCATCGGTCTTGGGCCCAGGGCTTCTGGGCATCAACTCTAAGTTGTCTTTTGCTCCTTTTGAGTTTTTCCCCAGTCACTAGGAGCGAAAAGACAGAAAGACCACAAAAATATCTCTCTCTTTCTGGCCGCACCTTGAACTTTTCAAGCTCCTCGGTTGAGAACATCGGCGAAAAGCGGCGATGCCATGCGAGATAGAGGCGATGCGATGCGACCCGATGTGGGCTCAGTGGAAACATGGTCCTTCACCTGGTCCTTCACCTGGTCCTTCACCTCAAAGTCGACAAGAGAAACCACGTGTCTCTTTTCCTGGTGGACCTTCCATGATTTCTCACCGGTGGTGCATGCGACGTCTCCGACCCGAAGCGAAACACGGGCATTCAGTATCCAATAAGAAGAGTAAATAACCGTAACCACCGATGTTCGGCGCAAACCCTTTCTTTTCTTTTCGGGATGTTGCTCAAGCGTGTCAGATCAAAACACTTGAGAGTGACCATCTTCAGTGACTGGGTTTTGGTGTCCAAAACTTGGTTGCGGTCTAACCCAACTATATTTGTCTCGCTATCTCAAGGTCCCTCCAATCGGGGCAAGTGCAATGCCTATAGAAAATCCTCTTCGATCCGGGTCGACAAATCAACCTCACCCTGTCAGGATGTCCATTCGCCGTTCTTCTTCAACCAAGACAGCCAATCCCCCATCTCCCTCTCTCTCTCTCTCTCCCTCTCTCTCTCTCTCTCTCTCTGTTTCTCCGCTCCTGCATGTGCTTTTCTGCACTTTCCCCCAGTAGCTTCTCCAGGTAGTCTACACGCTCGCCCAGCCTGGTAGGCAAAAGGGATGGGTATGATGATCGGGTTGTCATCGACGTCATCACTATGTAAGAACTCTGGCACTGATGCACCGCAACCTAAACTCCCAAACGTTTCGAACTCTTCTACCTCTGGACACTTGAGGCCGCCACGACATATGGCGCGCATGAAGATCTTCCTTCTCCCTGGGCAGTCTGTTTTGGCAAGCACCGCAGTCTTTTGCAAGAGTGAAGGATTGTGATGGAGCGAAAACCCAAAGAGGTTGCGCGACAGGCACAGCCAGCACAACACCTGATTGATCCACAATGTCTGTGCCAAGGAGCTGCATCTCAAAAAAAAGAAAACCAAAGAAAACTCTACTTAGTTACCGGAGCTGTGCTGTTGGAGGTCGCCCAACCTATTCGGAGCCAGACCCGCCCAACTGGCCAATTCCATCCCTCTCACCTCTGCAACTGTGAGAGTCGATCGGCCACCTGTCCATGGCTCTGTTCCTTCCCTTAGCCACGCAGCACGAGACTCACCACCAGCCGCGAACTAGGATCTGTCTGACTTCTCGAAGGTGTCCGTCTGTCTACATGCGTTTGACATCTTTTGATTAGATAGAGCACCGAGCGATTCTGCTTCGTTCGCCTTGTTTTCCCCGGGCATCTTTGACTCCCCGACGACCATCCTCAACGCAAAGCCATTGAAAAGAAACGACGACCCTCACGAGAGGCTTCGGAGCCGGGGCGCCCTTGTGCTCCGCCACGACTTTCTGATGCGCCTCAGCCACAAGGGGATCACCACGCCGCCGTTCTCTCAGCAGGTCAACCTTCAAACCGCAAGTCTTGGAAAGCTTGGGGTTTATAAAAAGAGACCTCAAGCAGCATATATCCGCCTCGAAGCCTGACTCGCGATGCTTTCCAGCGCCGAACTGGGCGTCCCGGGCGGCTTTCAAGGCTTCCAGCTCCCGAGTATGTTTCTCAGAGGAATCGCCCAGCGCCTGACGTCAAGAGCACTGTCAGGCGTCAGGTCGAGAGCAGCTGGACACACGTTCTGCCTCTTCGGAACGTGGCACCTTCCGTCCATTCGAAAATTATACCGGCATAGACCCCAGATAGCACTTCAAGAAAAGTTGGACACCATGGCAAGAGCGGGAGACAAGCTTGGGAGACATCCCACTCAAAGCCGGGGAAAGGATGAAAAAGGTAAACAAGACACTTATAACAGCATCTGCGTCAAAGGCAGGCAAGAAAAAGACAAGGCGGCAGCGGCAGCCAAGAGCGAAATCAGGAACAGAGACAAGCTTGGGAAACAAGGCGGCAGCGGCAGCCAAGAGCGATCATGAAGGGAGACAAGCTTGAGAGACAAGGCGGCAGCGGCAGCCAAAAGCGAAATCATGAAGGGAGACAAGCTTGGGAGACAAGGCGGCAGCGGCAGCCAAGAGCGAAATCAGGAAGGGAGACTAGCTTGGGAGACAAGCTGGCAGCGGCAGCCAAGAGCGAAATCATGAAGGGAGACAAGCTTGGGAAGCAAGGCGGCAGCGGCAGCCAAGAGCGAAGTCATGAAGGGAGAAAAGCTGGAGAAACAAGATGGCAGCGGCAGCCAAGAGCAAAGTCATGAAGGGAGACAAGCTTGGGAGACAAGCCGGCAGCGGCAGCTAAAAGCGAA